ACGAATTGATATTGATTTGTGACCGCTTAAGCGAAAAATGAATGTTTTTGGAACGAGTCGTATCGTGGCCTATGGCGAGTCCGCCTGTAGCTGATGCTAGCGAGGCAATGGAAGCTTCAGGAAGTGCGGGGTACTGGGAATTGGATGGTGACAGCATGCTGCTATTAGGGTTTTGTTTGGCAGAGTTCGCGCCTTTTATCTAAGCAAATAACACCAATCCATTCATCTGATGTCATAAATTACTGATTTGTTCCGTTCTTTGGCTCGACAGCCCGATACGAGCTTTGGCCGACCAGCAGTGGCCGAGCCTCTCGGCCATAGGATAAGTGGTTAGCACGAAGACATCCCTCCACCGTGTATACTGGTCTTCATAACCTTAGGGAGGACTTTCTCATCGTCACACAGCAATAGATACTGAGAATTTGTAAGGAAAGCGCACTGTTATAATTTTGTTCCGGCCGGGAATCGAACCCAGGATTGCGCCGTGGAAAGCGAACACGTAAACCAACGAGCTACCGAGGGCCTTACTGATTTGTTTGCGGGAAATAAGTTTTTTGAAATATTATTTTAGCATGAGCACAATTATATACTCCGTTTTCAACGTAAAAGTGTTCTTAGACAAGGATCCCGATACGTGCAAATCGGTAAAATCCCGATACATTCAAATCGGTTGTACACAACATGTTTTAGTTTTCCTCGTTCAAGAAATATTTCAAAGAAGTAAATGGATGTGATAGTTCTGACATACGGATACATGCCGCTCGTCCTAATTTCCAAACCACTGGCCGTCACTGGTGTGCTTGTAAGAGCTGAAGCTATGACAAGAAAGAGGAAGGAAAGATCGCGCACTGTCCCTACCCCGTTTGTTAGGGTACTACTCCGGCATTCGCCTGGTGTTGATCGGAGAAACAACGGAAAACTACTGATCAGAGTAGCCGGCCGCTAGGATACTCCTCCACAAAGCGGCTGAATTCGACCTAGCTCTCTAGCTAGGTCGAAAATCTTGTCCTTGTTGGGATTCGATCCCTAGGTCTTCCAGGTCAGATGCACTGCAGTAGCATCAATTGATGCCCTGAGCCACCTAAACCGGCACTGCGAACCAACATTGTCTTTTAGCAAATACGAATATTATGTGTATAACCCGGAAGTTCAGGCATTTATTTTATCTAAAATAGTCAGGCAATTTCGGCAATTTCACTAATTTAAGCTTGCTAAAAAGCCATTTATTCTGGCTAAAGTAGGGAAACAAAAGGACATGTAAAAAATAAAATAAATATTTAAAAGGAATTATTGAAAAAAGGAATAATTAAAATCATTCACGTTTTTATTCTAACTCTAAAATTTACATTAACACTTACGTGGAAAGACAAGATCGTTTCATTGTATTCTTGATTGCACATAACCACCTGGTATGATGACAACGAATTTGTTTTACTCGCGACGCTGTCTCTACGAAATGCTATTGCGAACTCCCTTTAAACTCTTGAAATGGTATTGGTGAAAAAGGAATTATAGTTCTCGTTCTTCGCACTTTTGTAATCGCCAGCACTAAGAAGAACATATACTCCGACAGGTGTGCTCTCAGAGGTGATCGGAGGCCATACTTAAAAGTATAATGTAAGCAAACAAAGCTTGGCGGCAATCAATCAATGAAGAAAAAAAAACTTCTCGACAGGTGTCATCTTCCCTCCTCACTTAAATTTTTAATACTATCTGGTCCCGAGTCCTTTACCTGCAAAGAGAAACAAAACACTACCGTACCCTCGTGCAGTCCTTGCAGTGTCTCTGACTTGGAGGTCTTAGGGTTCGAGTACCAATAGAGGCAGGATTTTCGGTATAGGTAAGAGAGCTAGGTCGAGTTCTGTCGTTGTCTGGGGGGAAATTCTAGCGGCCGGCTGCTCTGATCGGTAGTTTTCCGTGGTTTCTCCGATCAATACTAAACGAACGCCGGAACAGTATCCTACCAAAAGGGCCACGGACCGCGCGCGAACTTTCCCTCCTATTCCTCGTCCTAACCTACCCCTACTTACACACTAACATGCACTACACTAGCACATATGCCGGGAGACCGGTCGGGAGCGACTGGGGCCGTGCTGCCTATGGGAGATGGCCGGTGAGAGATACTTGGTTGGGGAAAATGCCGCTAGCTGATGGAAGTAGGTCGGCGCTGGATCTCGCCATTTATCAGGGCAAGATCACCACTAACTCCCGAGCAAAAAAACTCACTACACTTCCGGTATTAATGACCTTGAGTTGACGTACCCGGAATCACTAGTAATTAATCAATCGTGCAGGTAACATGTTAGAAGATTTATTTTCGATTATAGGGGGGGGCGGACAACCTAAGCACGTCCCGCCACTCTGGATGGAACAATTGCATTTTAGAAAAAACTATGCAGCAGTTTGCTAGTCATGAAAAATAAATAGATTTTACTTTCTATTTATTACCGCAATATTTATATGAGGCATCTCGATCAGGTTTTCGTCCACTTTCCCTGATCCTCGAGCAAATGTTGAGATGGCCCCTTGTTTTGCTTCTGGACATAAATGTAACTTCTCCCCATATCACGTCACACACAGTTTTTAACTGTTTTTGACACAAATAAATAAGTAAATAATTAAATAGATAAAGCAGACTTCATTTCCCTCTTCCGTGAGTTACGACAACACTGATCCCTCAACATTTGCGAGATTTAGGTTCCCAAAAAGCATCGCGAAATTAAATCCGCGAATGTTGAGTCTATCTTTTAGTGAAGAAAGATGTTTTAGGTTCCTATATATCGAAAAACTGTTTAAAAAAGAAAGAAAAAATATCTGACAAACAATTGCAGTAGAACTGAGTAAGCGCTACTACAAACAGAATTCACAACTAACATCCCAAAGAGAATAAATAAAATAATAATTGAAACTTTTACAAAGTTGAAAGTGATTTCATATAGGATTATTATTATTATTATTATTATTATGTTCTAATATCCAAATATGGTAGAGTTGCGGGTTCTATATCTCTCTTAAATTTCGAAGTTATTTCCATATTCGGAATACATTCAAATGCCAGTCCCACCTGCGCTTGTTGAAGTTTTAGAACGTCATTAAACGTTTCGGCATTGATGTTGCTCAGGACGCAATTTCGCGTCCGTTACTTCATCATTACGTTCCAGGGGGTTTTCTTCGCTGATGATTTCCCGAAACTCCTCTTAAGTGAGGTCATTACAATAAGAATTGCACAGATTCTGAATGGCTTTTCTGTTCGTGTGGATAAAACCCTTACCTCGAATACGATGCAACTGAATTGAATTATTTTAAAATTGTATTATTCTAATAATGTGAAATGACATTCTAATTTTGACAGTTTTGCAGAACCTTTTAATTTGAGCTCCGGTGTCTGCCGAATTCGTTTCCCAGGTGACGCTGATAAAAGAAATGAAATGTGCTCCCTTTCAAAAAAAGTCGTAGTACGAACAAAAGACGCATTCCCGAATGTTGAAGTCGCGAACGTTAAAACCGGTAGCAATCACGTAAGTTCGGATCTCGCGAATAGCGAATGTCAAGGGATTACTGTATTTCTTTTCTTTCATGAAAATATATCTTGTGTGTTAGAGATAAATCGCATGGTGTTTTTATTTATAAGCGATATCAGACAGTTTCAACATGGCCTTGGCAAGGGCCGTCAGTGCATCTAATGTAGACGTCCATAAAGTCGTATGTGTGTGGCACAATAGGTGCGAGCATTGTAGAAAAAAATAATTCTGGAATATTCGTATCGTTGATGAGGCTGGCCAGAGACTATACCGAGCCCAGGAGAAAACGACACAAATAGTTTTAGACACCAATAAAATCGGTTGTGATGACTTAATGAGAGATTGGTTTTGCTCTGTATTGTATTTCGATTCCTTTTTAAATGCCATAACATTATGGGTACGTTTTGCACCCTACAAAGAAATTCTGATAGAGACAATAAATTACGCTTTTGCAACACTTCTTTTAACGACATAGCAAACCAAGCAAGCAAAATAGGTGATGTTAAGACGAGCAATTGAATGAAGAAATTTGAAAATCAGATCAACACGAATGAACACAACGGAAAACGATTGGAAGAAGCAGAGTTGCAAAGAGAGATAGTATAGAGAATGAGAGGGGAAAAAAGAGGAAAATATGAAGTCAAGAATATTGTAGTTAAGTGATACAAAAAACATTTAATAGTACAATAAACTATTTTCAAGAGGAAGGCATTCGAAGAAAAGAAATGGAAAGAGGTCAGAGGGAAAAGCAATTAACGGTTAGCAACTGAAAAGCGGAGACTATGGTGAATAGAAAGAATTGGTGACAAATGGAAAGAGAAGGAACAAAACAAAGATATTGGAAGAGTGCACCATTGGTCGCAAGACTCCTTTGATATACAAGTCTGAGACTACGCAATACTCACTTTGAAGATACCTCAACTTTATCCCGACAGAATTGAGCTAAGTGAACAGAATTGGATTTTCAAGTTAATGCACCTCCAAGGAACATACTTCGAAATGCTGTATAACTTATCGAATTAATACTCTACGAATATAAACGTTCAAACTGATATTCAATCTCTGAAAGAAAAGATAATGATGATTTCTTATTATCTTTTTCTAAATTTCTCGCAATGTTAACAATATATTTTAATTCAAAAGCGTTCATATAAATAGTGAATCAAAAAATACACACAAAAAAAATTATACACGATCTATTTTCGGAATTTTATTCAAAATTTCCAATTAAACAACTCTTGTGGGACGCTCTTTATTTCGACAAGCAACATCTCTTTTCGAATTGACTTGCGAGTCCGACACGAGATCGTTTCGTTTAGAACGTCTGTATGCAAAACTAGTTTTCTTCGCTATAATTACAGGCGGCACTTTTTCGCCTTATTTGCATTCCCAGGCGCCTTTGCAGGGGCGCTGACCAGTCGCAGGCGCGACGGCCCGTGGCTCGGCGCTGACCAAAGTGACGCAGGCGTGTTGACAACAATGCAACACTGTCGCAGCTTCCATCAACAAAATACGCTGCTTCAGTACGCAATTACAGGATGGGGGGTAGAAAAAGCTGACGAAAAGAAAAGTCGGCGCTTCGAGTGTACTTCGTCCAGGCAACAAGGATCAGCGTCGTGAGTTGCACGTACCAGTAATCGGACCGGCACCAAGTCATTCACCTTCCGCTCATTTATTAATTATACAATGCCTAACGACGTACGTGCGGCCGGATCGAACCACCCGACACTGAATTCTTGCATTCTGTGCAAAACGCTGTATTCTTCATAGCTTCAGCACTTTTCACTTCCTACTTTTTGTTGACGTAAAACTATCACCGAAAGTACTGCGCGAAATTTGTTCCCAATCAATGGAGTTGCTTAATAATGGCTTTTGCCCGATACGTGAATTATTCACGAGCAGTTTGCATTTTGGGGATAAAAGAAAAAAATAGTTAAAGTAAAAAGCAACGATTCGACTTACGGGATGAGGACGCCCTCCTGATGCCCGTCATCGCTGAACGTCCCTCCGCTGTCAGCAAACACGGGTTGGAAAATATTAATTACAAATGCTGCAACTACAAACAAGCCCGGCGCTTGTGAAAAATCCATCGTCCCCACAGAAAGCGCCATCCCAGAGATGAGACGTGATTGGTATGCGATACCCGGCTTCGAGATCTCCCAGCGAAGCTAACGCCTTCGCGGCCTGACGCCACGCGACTGGGTGAATATACTGTGACGGCGTGCGACTGAGGCCAAAGGAAAGAAGTACTGCCAACGTGCCCGCACATTCTTCAACTCTCAAAGCGTACTCAGAATAAACGTTCGTGAACTTGACTTTACGATAACAGCAATCTTATTTTCAGTAACATTGAACTCCCATCATTTTGCAGCGAAAAGATTCTTTATGATGTATATCATGCGCTGGGTTTTGAATCTCCCGCGTAACTTTGTATTTTGTTTTGTTAAGTTGTAGTACCCTTTAACAACCATGTGGGGAACAGCTGATGTGAAAAATATAAACAAAACCCCTACTTCTCATACTAATTATAACTAAAATTTACAGTCTTGAGAAATATTTTGTTATCGTGACAGCTGACAGTGAGGAGATTAACATCGGGGAATGCCTGTTAACTAACGTATGGCTAAAGTTTTTTAGCCTCATCTTCAGTGAATTGGCTACACTCTTCCGACATTGAAGATTAATGTATTCCATTTCCTCACCACTGTCTCTTTAATTCTCTCTTAAGAAGAGTAATTTGTATGGATCAGGGTGCAAAAGGTACGATTTGTTTTTGATTTCGTTTCCTGCTGCTGAAATTCAGAATACCTGTCATTGCCAACTAAGGGATTCGGCATGAATATTTTCTGACTGATGCCGAGTTTTTTGGACAATCAAGGCAAACTTTATACACCAATGTCTAACCACCTCATTCTCAGTGATTTGTATGTACTGATTTGCATTAAAATCTTATAAGGCATCACAATATTAAGAGAAATTAGGTTTTTCAATTTGTATTAGGCGCCGTTTAAAATTTCGTTTTTGACTGTGCATGTATAACCATAGATTAACACCATGGTATAACCGTGAGCTTTCAAAGAACAAAATTGAAATTTGAATGTTCAAAAATAAATAAATGCCATATTTTCTACCCTTACTTTTGCACAAAGATTTTTTTACCTATTTAATCATTAGTGTTTAGCAATTGACATTCACTAATAATTTTTTATTTAGAAAATTATTCTGTAAATTCTGTAATATTGGTAAAATCTTCCATATGCAAGTAATAAGAAAGTGTAAGTGTATTCTATAACATGGGATACTAGCACAGTGCAAAAAACAGTACTTTTATATTTTTAGATTATTCAACCTTTGTTTCTCATTTCTTTTGTAGGTACAAACTTCTACTTGAAACCTTTTCTAACAAATTGAAAGCTGCAATGGCCTGTCAGGATGACCGTTCTAATAATGCACGGTAGGTCTCTATGAATAAATAGTATTATTATCATTATTATTATTATTATTATTATTATTATTATTATTATTATTATTATTAAGACATTTATTTCTTTGGTGTGTAAAATTCATTATGATTTTAATGTTTTGTAATGAAAATTTACACTTAATAAACTTTCATCATAATGCAAGAGTTGAGTCACAAAAAGAGAAAGATACAGAAAGTCAACACAAAGGGTCATCACCAAAAATTTTGTGCCTTGAAAATTTACAAATACAAGATACAGACAAAATGCATGATAAAAATAAATATGTATATACTTGTTTCATTTTTCAGAACTCGTTTGCGCCAAGGGAGCATTGCAGATTTGGAATTTGATTGCTTTCCTAAGACATCAAGTTATGAGGATACAGTAAGGCAGTTGGACATATATTATGGAATAGGTAAAACAGTAAATATTATTCCTTAACTACATTAAAATAAAGAATAATGGCTAAAAGTATGACACTTGATTTAATTGTTACTTCTCAGTGAAAAGACAGATTTTGCGATTTCAAAGCCCTATTACAGGACTTTTCCCTGTAATATCTCTAGAAACAAAGATAGGCAGTGTTCGAGACAGTATCTATTGTGCAACTGCCATATGGAGTCTGTACCAAGCTTATCGGTAAGTAAATATCTCAAATGAGAATAATTAAAGACTGTTCATTTTATTTTCTCTGAAATTTGCTTTCCAGGAGAATTGATGATGACAGAGGAAAATCACATGAATTGGGTCAGTCAGCTGTCAAGTGCATGAGAGGTATCTTAGAATGCTGGGTCAGACAGGCAGCTCGGGTTGAATCATTCAAAATGCAACAATGTGATCGACATGCATTGCATTGCAAATTTCACCTTATTACTGGTGATGAAGTGTTTACCCATGATGAATACCATCATTTACAGGTCATATTTTCATGTATAATTAATAAGATAAAAATGAACAATAACTTTAATGAACAAAATATGCTAAAAAGTTTAATTCAAAACAACGTTAATTTTCTCTGAATTTTCCAGATTGATGTGGTTTCACTATACTTGTTAATGTTAGTTCAGATGATTACTTCAGGCCTCCAAATCATTTACACACAAGATGAGGTGGCATTTGTGCAGAATCTAGTGTACTATGTAGAACGAGCATATCGTACCCCTGACTATGGTCACTGGGAACGTGGCAGTAAACACAATGATGGTACTCCTGAAATCCATGCAAGGTATTTTCCTTGGATAACAAGAATTTATGTCTGAAGTTTACTGTGCAAAAGCAATCAAGATCTTGTGTTTTACAAGAATTTAATTCAAAGTCTTAAAATGCAATGTAATACAAAGGAACAAATCTAGAGCCATAAATTACTGTACTTTCATTTTTAATGTATTTTTCAAACATACTTTACTGTCAACAGTTTAGAAGTATTATTGATAACTCATAGCATTATCAACAAACTCAAACCGCACATTCTAGAACACAAAACAAAAAACAAAAAAAAAAACTTAAGTCAAGTCTCATCTTATACTGCGCAGCACACCAAATTGTGCATTTAATATTACAATGTCAGAAGTAAGTGAATAATATGGAAATGGAAACTGATATTAAGCTCTTGGAATAGCTCATTGTTGATAGCATGATAGTCTTGTCATGTGTAGGTGGGCCATAGCTGATCAGAATCTTTTTCAGATTTTGTAGGTCATTATACTTGGGCTTGAATGTGGAATTAAACTGAACATGGTTCAATCTGTAAAGCATTAGAAATAAAACCACAGATGAACAGAAAGATTACTATCATAACAAGTTGGATAGTTGTCAATTATTTAAATTCTTTCCAGCATGCTTAAAAATAGTATGCATGGAAATATAAAATTAATTTTTATACACTAGAAATTTACTATTCTAAGTATATTATACTTTCAGCAATTGAAAATGAACAGGAACTTCGATAGATTTTCCTTTTCAAAAATGACTATTGTTTTTACCCCTGAATGCTTCTCATGTAGTGCAATTTTTATTGAACAATGAGGTTTTCTTTTTCTTGTTTTAATGGCCTAGATCACAATCCCTACATGATCATAGTATCACATCTAAAATTTCATCAAAAGTGATCTTTGATTTTCCCCTCTACCTTTTTATAAGACATGAGCAATTTCTTCAGTGCAGAAAGCTTTTACAAGATCTTCATTTTAAACTTACAAAAAATATCCAAAGAGACAAAATTCTTGGGAAACATAAATGTGAGTAATGCGTTACACAATGTTTTGTACCTCTGTTCATGCTAATTGTGTTTTTAATTAATATCAAGATTCGTATTACGGATTCTCAGAATGAAGTCTCAGGCAAGTTCTATCTTGTTTTTTCAGATATTTCTCTACTCATATTTTCTGTGTTCTGTCACTCATGAAGTCGCATGTAACTCTTATTTTGTAGTTCTATTGGCATGGCCAAAGCAGCTTTGGAAGCTATTAATGGGTGCAACCTGTTTGGAGACAAAGGAGCATCTTGGTCTGTAATATACGTTGATATTGATGCACATAACCGCAATCGCAGTATATTCGAGACACTTCTTCCCAGAGAATCTAGTTCAAAGGTGCTGTAAAATTGCAATTTTAATTTTAAAATGAATCTTTTAATATTTCAGTAAAGACATTACAAGCTCTGAGAATATTTAGTTTCTCAATATATATGCCTCCCATTCCTCCAAATTTAGTATTTTTTTTCTTTAATATTTGTTTTTCAAGATATCCACAAAGAAAATGTTCAAGACTTTTTGTTGCATTTCATTCCGTTATTAAAAGTGTTCAATTATTAGAAGAAATAAAATTCAGTTAGGTTGCCTTTCTTTAATTTTGACCATTAACCTTACGTTTTAATGGCACCCAAAAGAGATGTATCTTTCCCAGATTATCAGAGAATCTGTGAGGAATATTTTCTCAGAAACTATTGAAGCTTTGATATTTTCCTTAAAATAATATAACTAGTAATACATGTAAACAAGAGATTTGTGCAAAAGTTTGATGTAAAAATATACATTTTTGAAAATGAGTGAAAGTTGCATCCCCAAATATTGTAATATTTTTAACAGTTATTTTAATGAAAAGTAAATGTTGCTGAAAAATGCCCTCTTAAAGTATGTATTTGTATATTACATTAGATGTGCAAATTTGGTAGAGAAGGGACTAATAGAGACTGAGAAAATATTCTATTTTATAATAAAAATGTTGATTTAAATATAATTTTTAATGCATTCCTGCACCACATTTGATTATTAGAGCCCTCTTCCTTTGCAACTTATAACTTTCTTTTCAAACTTCTTTTCTTGTATCTTGTACAAGTTTGTTTGTTTTTACATTTGACTTTCTTCATCTCTGTTTATTTTTGTCATTACTGTGTGTGTCTTTGCACTTACTAACTTTCACCAACATACGAGTACCTACAGTCCCTGGTGTTATTACCACCAAAATTTAAAGTTTTTGCCCTTTTCTCTCTTTTGTGAAGGGAAATCTTGGAAGTATCTCAATTGAGGTTTTTCCAGTAGTAACAATTCTTTCGTGAAAACGTGTCACCAATTTTTTGTTCTATGGCAACATTGGTTCTGTGATTGAATACATCAGTTTTATGAGTGAAATTCTGCATAATTTTCTTGTGGAATAATTGCTTTATTTGCAATAAGTGCACATTGTTTCGGCACATGAATCTATAATTCATTTTAGATTTTCTTAATTGTATTGTTTTTGTTTCACACTCTTGAATTTTTAATGACTTTTTGTGCAACTTAATCTTTACATCTATTTGTTGTTTGTTTTGTGATGAGATGGCCAAAGAACATATCTCGAGAGAGAAAAAAAGAGAAATTAAGACATTAAAAGAACTTGAACCCCTTTCACAATGTCAAGTTTTTCGAAAGGTTTGTTTCCAAGTCATCAGTAGCAAACCTTACCAGGAAATTACAGAATGGCAAAATTTAGAAAATGTAGAGATGTCACATTAATACAACCAGGCTGTACATGATCCAAAAAAAACACCAACTATATTATAACAACTAAATAAAAGATTAAAATCTGAGAACAGTGAGCGCCTGGACCACACCCCATACCCATCATTGTATTCATTTGGAATTAACATTGTAAAAATTGCCTCATTAAGACAAAACAGACACTATTTTAAAGAGGAAACTATGTATAAATCTATTTTGCAAAAAACATAAAAGGATGTTTCTGATGGGTGTCTTCAAATCTTGTGATCATTCTCAGTTTTCCATCTCTAATCTCTGAAAACAAACATGATACATACTACTTTACTTTCTGTGGGTTCTAACATTCACATCATATTTTATACAATTGCAGGGAGTTGATGCTGCTTTGCTGCCTACCATTTCTTTTCCAGCCTTTGCGACACATGATGAAGTTTTGTATTGCGACACTAAAAGCAATGTAATGCGACGATTGCGAGGACAGTATGGTTTTAAACGTTTTGGTCGAGATGGATACAAGTGTGTTTTAGAAGATACCAACAGACAGTTCTACAGAAATGGCGAAATTAAGGTATGTTTGAGAGAAAAATGTTTTGTCATATGTTACTCTTCATTTTTGTAAGGAAATTCAGAGTTAAGTCTTTTATCAGGCATTTGAAAACGTGGAATGTGAGTGGCCCCTGTTCTACATTTTTATGATTATTGATGGAGTTTTTAAAACCATGCCAGAACAAGTTGATGAGTTTCAGAATCTTCTTAAAACACGAATAAAGCATGATGAATGTGGAGGTAAGTTGTAATAAATAGTCGAAAATATTTTGTTGTCTGCTGGATGAATAGAGTTAGTTATCTGCAATAACCTTAACTGTAGCCGAAATTGTAGTGGCTGTAACTAATATAACTCTGCCAATTATTCTGTTTTTCCTGTTATCGAGAGGAAAGACGGGAGAAGTTGAAGTAATTTAAGGAATTTTTGCAAATTTGCAAATGCACCGTTTGTTTAATCATTATCTCATGACTGTTATAAAAAGTTATTTAAATATTTTCATCTTATAAAAGTAGTTGTTTATTCCTGTTAGATCCTGTAATTCCTATGTACTTCTACGTGCCAGTGGAATGTGTTGAAGCTGAGCGTAGAGAGCCTGGCACTCAAGAGCGGTATCCTAGTGAAGTGGGGAGTGGTACTACAGGTGTTGGAACTTTCTTATGGAACCAGGCTCTCTTCATAATAGCTCAACTTCTTACAGATGAACTGCTTCATGTAAATGAACTTGACCCTATCAGAAGGTATCTTCCATCTTACAATCGTCCCAGAAGAGCTGGACGATATTCAGCTTTTCAGGTAAGAGTGTTACACATACTACCTTGGTATATAGATGAGGAGAGAAAATAAAATAAAGGAAAGCAAAACACACAATTTTGAACACCAAACTTTGTGTGTAAAGAATTTAATAATAAATTGATGATAAAACAGGTATGCGCATCTATCAGACTGACATATGTTTGTATTTGTTTCATGATGCGGATGCTAGGCCAAACCAGTTGTAAGTAGTGAGAAACATATCAATTTCCACCGTCTTACCCCTCTTTATTTGCAGCTATCATCTTTAAAAACACATTCTGTAGCATTTTCTCTTTCTTTTTGTTTAAATAACTGATAATTATCTCTGTAGTTCATATGTTCCCGTATATAAGGCCGCATGAGTAGTCATATTCTGGTTGGCATGGAAGAAGTGTATTTTCTAATTGCTGTATTTTCATTATTATTATAATTATTTTATTTTTTATACTTCTTTCATTCTTTCTACTGGTATTTGTGTAAAATTTAGATCTCTTGAATATTTTCAGACATTTAACAAAGTTCCAGTATTGTGTCCTAAATCAAAGATTTTTTTCTTATTTTGTTTTAGCCTCTGTAAGGTTGTCTTCATTTGACATGCTTGCTTTGCTCTTTGCATGCAGTATCTTGAATATTAATGCTAATGTTCCTTTTTCATGCCATAATAAAAATCTACAGGCTGAATTACAAGAATAATATTGCCTTTCATTTTAATAGGGCACTGCCACAGATCTGGTGGTACAAACAGTTCTTATTGCTGAATCAATGAGGTTGCAAGCAATGATGGCAACTTATGGTATTCAAACTCAGACTCCACATGAAGTTGAGCCTGTCCAAATTTGGTCATCAAAACAAATGGTGACAGTGTTTGAACAACTTGGTGTCAATAACAAATTGGGACTCAAAGGAAGACCTGTACGACCAATTGGTGCCCTGGGCACAAGCAAGGTACTCGCCACTTGAAATCTCTCATTATTTTATTAGTAAGTGATGCAAATTGTTTTTATGCTGCTATTCTATATAAATCCATGCTCGGTCCATCTCCACTCATTTCACCCTGAGGAAGATCACAATATGAAGACCGAAATGTTGGTTTTTGAAAATTGTTGTAGTTTTTGTACAATTTTGTGTGTAATAGGGCAATATTAACAAATATTAATGTCAAGGATTTTTCAAAAAGGCTTCAAATTTTTTCCGTAAAATTTGGTAGTGGCAATGCTAAAATTTTTTTGAAAACTCAATGTGAAAATGATCTCAAAAATTCCGCATTTTTAGAAACATTCAAATGCCATCATCTCACATTATGGCTCCAATTGTTTTCCTTAAATATTTTGAACAGATAGTGCTAAATTAACTGAATAACATAACATAAATGCCACTTTAATGTATCTTTTGTTTTTGCAAATATTACACAAATGTAATTTTTTTTTTTTTAACATCTGACATGCTGTTAATACATACATTACTAGCAATTTGTATGCATTATTGGATTTGTGAATAGAAGTGTATCAAAAGATTCCCAATGAAGTTTCTCGAAAACTCAAGATTTCTGAAAAAAAGAGCCTCAAATTTCACTTTTACACAAATGCTTTAATGACATTTTCAATGACAAATTTGTCAACGAAAATGGCCACATAAACAAGGTTTTACTCTTCTATAATGCCTTTAGTCATATTTCAGTTCTACCATTAAGGGACCAAAACATTAAGAAAATGTGAAAAAGTGTTCTTTAGGTGACAAAAGATAACAGCTGGAAAGAGGGTGAGGCAAAACCAAAAACTTGGCCAGACCACAGAAATTAGAAAACTAACTAGTTCGAGAAAGTCTGTGCTATTCTGTAGCACCACTAGTTTTGTTATTGAATTAGTCTGACTAATTACGGGAAGAAAGCTTGTAAAAGGTATCAAGCATAGTTCAGGGTCTGGCTTTTAGAGGTGAGTTCATTTTCACTTTTAAAACAATGATTTACAAAATTATCATAATTAATAGTCAAAAATATAAAATGGAAATATGAGATGATCAAGTGCAATGACTGACATATCAAAAGATTGCAAAGGACAAGTTTACCTAGAATTATTCTACATTTCATACTAAAGGTAGAAACAAAGAAAGACGCAAAATGAGATGCAGGAACATTTAATGAACTTAAATTGATAATGGTGATGATTTACAAAGTACAAAATGTTCAGATGGGTCCAACTTGTTCATTTTAAACCATTTATTCAATCATTACCTACATTTTTTACTTGTACTTCTTTGCATGTTGCAGGTCTATCGTGTTTGCGGACTAACAGTTTTGTGCTATCCACTAATATTTGAGGTTTCTGAGTTTTATTTGTATCGAGATATGGCATTGCTTATAGATGATATCAAAACAGAGTTGCAATTTGTTGGACGTTATTGGCGATTGTCAGGAAGGCCTACTATGTGTCTGCTTATTCGAGAGGAGCACATGCGGTAATTTGAAAACTTATTTTAGTATGCACCTTAACTTCAGTGTTGATTGAAAATTTCACTTAAATACATTTTTTTACAGTGACCCACAGTTCAAAGAAATGCTTGACTTATTAGCTATGCTTAAAACAGGTTATTGTGATGGTTTGAAAGTGCGTGTAGGTCGATTGCAAAATCTCATATCATCTTCGTGTATAGGTAAGAAAATAAAATGTTGAGTATATTATTCTTGTGATGCAGGCCTAATTAAATACTAATTCCTTACCAGAACATCTGGACTTTATGAACACTGTGGATGTGGATCTTGATCTTGTGCAGTTTCGACAGCTGGAGCATGAATATATTGGTTATCAAAGCTTGACTGATGTCCCTAAAACACTAACGTACTCAGAAGAAATGAAAGATTTTTCTGTAAGTGTGCAAATTTGGTATTGTTATTAATATATTTTTGTTGCAGAATTTAACATCTTATATTTTTGTTCAGCATCTAGTTGGAAAGCCAACATATGAAATCATTGAAGTACTGCGTGCTACAACAGAAGGCTTACATGCCCGAAGTCAATTGTTCGGATTGCTACTTAAAAAAGAAGGTCCCAACTATGAATTCAATGATGTAACAGGTGAGAAGCATCAAACAGTTTTGCAGTAATACATGCTTGAACTCACTCAAGTAAACTCTCAAGGGAATGCAGCATAGTTTACAATATCCAAATAATACATTTTCCAAAATATAGGGATTTCAATAATTGTATTATTCTTTTTCCAAATTTCTGTCATCTACTTACTACAAAATGCATCAAAACGCCTTTGTGATTTTTATAAGCTTTTGTTTACTTATTTTTTTGTAGGTCTTAAACATATTAATTAGACAGATGGCATGAAACAATTTTAGATTAAATATCAGTAAAAAGATAACTGACAGCTACATGTGAAGTTCTGTGAACTGCTACAATCATCAGTTGAGCTATCTAGTATTTTCCTTAATTGATGATCTTGTTATTTCAAACAGTATCAAAACAATCATTTTTGATCGTGGGCAAAAATGAAATTGAGGCACCTTCCCTCCCCCCTCCCTTCAATAAAAAAAAAAGAGATTTTCTGAAGATAAAATCATTTAAAATGGAATGTAAATTACCATACATGTTTTAATAAAAATATTATGAAGAAATGATTTGCAAATGCATTGAGTCTCAAATTAATAGCAAATGTTATGCCCTAATGAAAGGCTTTACATGCAAAATCATAATAACAAAATCTTAGTAATCATTATTTTTTCTAATTTCTTTTTTTGTCCCCCATTATTGTGGCCTCTTGCAATATCCACTCTACCCAAGACTAACATTGCCACCACGAAGAAGATGCAATTTCAATATCATAATTTCATTAACTTTTGAATCTCTAAAATTCAGGATTTTTAATATGTATAAAACTGGCATTGAATAATTTGAGTATAATCTTCAAGAATCGCAAGGAGAAAAAACTCTTCATAAAGCCAGAAAAAAAAATTGTCTTGAAACTTTTCCTTAATTCAAATTTATTCATTTTCATCTTCTCGTATGAAATAATAACTTTCTCAGTAAAAGATTGTATATTTTTCAGTGCGAGATCATCTTCAAAACCTCTATACTACTGCAGGAAGTCTTCGAAGTTGGGCTGCTGTTCGCTATTGCAGTTCATTATTGCATCACACTGTAGACTCTATATCACCATTTATTACCACTGTTCTGGTCAGTGGGAAACAAGTAAGTAAATGAGGTAGTATGTCGTGTTATTGAATCAATATAGTGCTTCTTTCTACACATTTCAATCTTACAGCTTACAGTAGGAGTTGTTGGTCAACAAGAGACTGTATTTGACAAACCAATGACCCCAGCAGAAATTCGTACTGTGATGTATGACACAGTACAGCCTTATGATGTAATTGGAGCTGTCCTTCAGCAAGAAATAGTCTTGTATTGTGGACGCCTTATTGCCACAAGACCAGATATGTTTCAAGGCATTTTGAAAATAAGAGTTGGGTGTGTTTCTTTCTTAAGACTAGTTGAATTCAGAAGAGTAAACCAATATTACTTTTATTATTATTTTATAATAATAATAATAATAATAATAATAATAATAATAATAATAATAATTATTATTATAATTATTATTATTATTATTATTATTATTATTATTATTATTATTATTAATAAAAGCACATGATGATGATGATGATAAAACTTTTATAGTTGGGTGCTGGAGGCCATGAAGCATTATTTACGGATGAATGACAAGTTTTCAAAACCTCTTGAACATCACAGTCCATATGAAGTGAGAACCCTTTTATACAAAGTTTTATCTCTGCGAGAATGGGCTACCAGAGAAAAGTAAGTATTAAAGTTTGTAAAACATATTTTCTTAGTTATTAGACACCCCACGCCCCCCTTTCCCATGTCCACGCTGACAATTCAACAAGAGAAAAGAATGAAAGTCATCACCAGGATCTGTTTTGACAGTATCAGTATATTCATGACCCACCAAAACATTAGTGCATTGATTTTTAATATAAAATAAGAATGTTGCAGGCAAAGTTTTTCAAATACACAAATACATTATGGAATTGCCATTTAAAAGTTCAGTCTCCTGCTGGCACAGGTAATTACCTAAATTGTTTTTCTGAACTCTCAGCTCATTTTTTTGCAAATTAATTAAGCTTTTTAGTCACAGTAAAACAAAAAAATGTATTTTGCTGAAATGATGGCCCTCTTAGGCCCATGCACTTTCCCTCTTTTTCCTCCCCCTCTTCATCACACAGAAACAAACGTACAATCAAAAAGAAAGTGACTCAAGGAAGAAAAGAAATCTTAACAATCTGATTGGTACAGAAAATATTATTTGAAGTTTCCTTTATATTATGACAATTTGCTGACATATTCATGTGAAGAGTGAAGAGTTAAGTAATTATTTTCATTATTCATATTATATTCTTATTTTGATAGACTCAGCACATTAGAGCGCCGAAGAATTGAAGGATGTCTCTGTCGTGTTCCTGATGAGTTCTATAGTAAGGTCTGGGATGTTACTGTGAGAACACGCCGAGGAGTGGCAGTGCAAGAATGTTCTTTGCCTCATCTTCCAACTCTTGCAGCTATGGGTCGTTCAGAATTGAATTTTGCCTTACTTGTGGAACAAATGCTTAATCATATAACCAGACCTGAATATAGACAAATCATTGTTGAGGTACAAGTTGATCATCTCTACCTAATGAATGCTTATTATGTTCTCATCACTAATAATGTCACGAATGATTCTTCTTTTTTGCAGTTATTGTGCATTGTGTCCACCATTCTTCAGCGGAATCCTGAACTTACCTTCCAGAACCAGCTTCATTTGGATCATTTAGTCCAGGAAGCTTTTCATTTGTTCTGCAAGGTATACTTCAAAATTATGATTACCAATATTTTATGAATAAAATATTTAGAATTAATTAGAAAATAATATTATTAGTATCAAAGAACTTCAGATACACATCACAGTACAAAAGAAACTCCAGTAGATATTGAGTCTGCAGGAATATTATGTTCTAATGAGTGGTTTGGTATGTGCTATCAGAATGTAATGTTCAGATGAACTGACAGTACACTAGTGTATCAATTTGTTACACAAGTGGAGGGGTGAAGACAAAATGATGAATTTCTTTTTTGATGGAAACTATGACGAAAGGATAGTTAGAAAATTGAATTAATTGTTGTACTATTAATTTTGCTGTATTGTAACTTTCAAGTCTGATTCTGAGTTCCAGCCAGCATGTTCTGTAATAGCACTGTTGAATGAAAATTGGGTCTTTTCTGTGAGTGAAAAGTCTGTGGTACAATGTTGATTTAAATTAGTCATTTTTTTAAGTATTAATTTTAATCATCAGCTCTACAACATTGATGATACTAAGTGGCACTAATCTATACCTATGTGTTGTGCTATCTTTGCTAATATTGTCTAACTACACTTCAGGGAAATTCTATGTGAATTACACTAAATCAGGGAATGTTCAGTTTGTAACTGCTTTCTAAAAAAATAACACATTATAAAATAAAATATTTGTCAATTAATCATCAACTGCTAAATAATCTCAATCTTGTGAATGAATAAATGGTTGGAACCATGGCTGCTCCCACTTAATGCATATAAATGCCTCTTGGGCAGCATGTTCATGGCTCAGTGCAAAACCATTGATAACCACAATGTAGACCCAACAATGCAACAGAATTCCTTTAGAGTTTGAATTTTCTGGACCTAAAATGGGAAAGTTGACTGATACTAAACAAACACACGGAATGACATATGTAATTAGGGAAGCCATTTCTTTCATGCAATCTTGGAAATATTTTTGCGTCATGCTTTCTATCTGTAATCAAGAAAATACATAAAATGTACATTATTTCTGCACCCAGTATGTTATGAAAGTCCCCGAATGTTAAGTACAAATAACACCCAGAGACAGAGGCATAAGAAGGTTAGTTTCACTCCGCCAAGAACGTAGCTGCAAACATGTTTACAATGTACACAGAAGAGAGTGCAAATGGGGGACATAGTGTCAAATTTGCCAACAAAATATCAAAGGTTCGGAAATCATGAAAATATAAATATTTTATAATATAAATAGTTTATATAGATTATATAAAAACATTTTTTTTTTTTTGAAAAACATTATTTTTATCTCAAAATAATTCAATTTTTTAAAAATATGAATAAATTTTCCCAACAAAAATAATTTTGTCAGATAAAAACAATTTTCCATCACAAATTGTGCAATAAAATTTCTCATAGTTCTGAATCCTTTCAATAACCAAGAATGATGTTTTGTAGGCATAAAATACAGGTATCTAGAAGTATTAAGGTTTCTACGGCTAATATTCTACGGCTGGCCGTTGATAAATCTTTCATGTACATCCCATTTTCCATTGCATTGTAGCACATATATACAAAACCACATTGATATCAATAATATTAGGATTCTTTAATTTCAGCAAGAATGGATTTCAAATGTATTCTCCACATAGTTCCAGAAATTCATTTAAATGCAGCATGATAAGTAATGTACTTCCATTTGTTGAGGGCTAAAGATAGTTAATAATTATTAAGTATTATTAATTTAAAAAACATAATATGAAGTTGTAATCAATATAGTATTTAAAATAAATGGTATTAAAATATTAATTGAAATACATTAACTCATTAAATAATAATTCATAAATACTGATTGCAGATAATGTACAAATTCAGGATGACATCCCAAAAATAACTCTAAAATAATAAAATAACGCTCTAAGAGAAATGAATAATAATAGATCCCCTGCTCACCATGGATAGTGGTTGAACTGTTAAAACAATCTCTAAATCAAATGAAAGAAATTAATGTAAAACTATTTAATAAATGTCTCATTGATCAGGAAGAAATTCCTCAAGAGTGGAAAAAACCAAAAATTATACCGATTTATAAGAAAGGCAATAAAGAAAAATGTGAAAATTATAGAGGTATTAGGGTCACAAGTTCAATTAGTAGACTGTACAGGCGAATAATTAAAGGAAGAATTGAGTCGGCGAGAAAAAAATCTGGAAGAACAAATCGATTTTACAGCTGGCCGTTCTTGTGTAGATAACATTTTCTGCATCCAACAAATTTTAGAAGAAAGGAAAGCCGGTGGAAAAGATTCTCATCTACTGTTTGTTGAACTTCAAAAAACATATGATAACATTCCCATTAACAGACTTTTTAAAATTTTAGAACAAAAACGTTATTTTAAATTATTAACACCATTAAGAAAATGTACTTAGACAGAAAAAATGTTGGGAAAGTAAACAGACAAGTATCAGATGATATAATAATTTCTAAAGGATTAAGACAGGGGTGCTGTATGTCCCCAACTCTTTTTAACACGTTCATTACTGAAGCTGTGAGAGAATGGGGGAGGAAACGCAGTGTAATGGGAATGCAAATTGGAGAATTAACACTGGATGTTCTACTTTTGGCAGATGATCTAGTCATCATGGCTGAGGATAAGCATGATATTAACTAGACTTGTAGAAAAGTTAAACAGGAATTTAAACTACAGGAATTGCAAATAAATGTGTCCAAAATAAAGTATATGGTAACACGAAAATATGGAAATGATCTGAACATTGGAAAGAATAAAATACAATTATGTGATGATTTTATATATTTGGGTTTCACATAAGTAATAAGGATATTAATAATAAGATAAATCAAAGGAAAGGAGTCATAAATATGCTAAATCCAATTCTGTGGAACTCCCGGTTCTAAAAGAAAACAAAGAAAAATACATTCATACCGTAATAGAAAGAATTGTCACATATGGCTCGTAAGTATGGGAACTAGCCCCAAAAAACAAAAAGAGATTATTGACAATTCAAATGAACTTTTTGAGATGAAGTTGCAGATTATCTCGTTTACACCATATATGCAATGAAGAAATAGAAGAGAAAATGAAAATTCAAAAGGATATAATAGAGTCTGTAAAACAAAAACAGCTTTGATGGTATGGTCATCTGCTGAGAATGCCAGGGGAGGGGTGGCCCAAACAAGTATATAAATGGATACCTCCGTACAGAAGACGACAGAGCAGACCATCAACCCCATGGAAACAAGGAATATTGACAGCGATGACAACAAGAAATTTAATAGAGGAAGATGTAGGGGATAGAGAAGGGGGAAGAGAATAACTGTGAAACATCGCCAGATATAAGCCACTCGGATATGTGTGTACACACTGATTATGAAATAAGAGTAAATAAATAAAATAAATGATGTAACTTTATTACTGACCTGTGTGATATTTCTTTGCATTCACTTTATATATACAGCTTCTAAACTTCTCAAATTCAATCTTCCAACACGATAATTGAACAACTGTTGCAAACAAAATGAATTTCAATTTTGTATTGTCCTATGCCTGTGCCTGCCCAATTTGGAAATGGAACTTACATTTTTTATATGTTATATAAAGAGAATGTTATTATGCAGTTATATGAAGGGAATAGATATATTCTGCCTTCTGAGCAAATCTCATTTTGGGGGATAAGTGCCATTTTATTTTATCTTGAAAATGGAATACAATTCTTTCAGATTCTTTATCATAAGTTTTATTGCATCTAATAAGTTGTAAACACATTATTTAAAGAGTTAATTTAAACAGTAAAACAGCATTATTAACAAAATTGTTCATAGTACTTTGAGGGCATTTATTTTATTTTGCACCATTAACTCAAAATTCATTTTGTGTTTGATCCCCAGGATAACAACGTAGAAAAATGTGATGATATGACGGCATTTTACTCTCAGCATTATGGTATTACCACTGGTTACCTTGCTCGTGCTGTTGTCAACAATGTTCTACAGGGAGGCCACCTGGCGACTCCAATTTCAGAAGAAGAAGATACCAACAATGAAGAAACTTGTCGAGTCTCATAGCTTTTTCCAGTGGGTCACTGATGGGCCTACTTGTTACTAGTCAACTTTTGTTAAAAATTATCATTATAAAAATTGGTTTATCTTTAAGCAAAGCTCAAGTTTGATATTAAAAATAAAAAGAATTAATGAGCTTAATAAATGTTTCTCGCTCAGATCATAAGTATAACAATAGAAAACATAAGGGATTTTTAAATATATTATTTTATTTGTTTTCATGACAAGTGCCAAATAATTAAAGAACAAATGTAAAAATTCTTCATTTAGATTTCTATCAATGTACATATCTTCAATTGCTAATGAAGCACAATAAAATACTCAATTCGATAGTTTTGGATCTAATTTGTATATTTGAACAATAAAGCAAGAAAGAAAAAAGCCAAGTGTTTTAATTTCCATAGAGATTAAATCACCTTCCTGTCAAAGACTAATGACTTAATATTGTCTCAATAAGGACATATTTCAAGAAATGTACAGGGGAGTCCGAGTTAGAAGATAAATTTTTTGAATGTTTTATTATTAACCCTAAGTTAGTAAGTTACTATTTATTTGATACAGCATTTATCTGTATTCACAATGATAACTCGAGACAGTTATCCTTGTGGTAACAGATACAAGCAACAATAACTCTGAACAAAATGGGCAAAGCCATAGCATGGTCATCATGTTTTTCAGGCATTGGTGTAATTGGACTTTCAAAAACAGATATTCTCTTTGTCAAAAAATGCAACTGTCTTTCATGCCAATAAGTTACTGTACTGAACTTATTAACTAATTGTATGAGCCTATGAATTTCCTTGTTGCATTTTCAGGAATGTGTTGCAGTACACCAATGTTCTCATTTCTCCCTTCCCCCTACAAATTCACTGATTTTAGTTTTGGATTACTTGGAAGTTCAGATTAGGAATATTCAAATATATAATATTGCTTCTTGATATTCTTTTTCTGTTCTCTTGTAGTTCCTATCAAGTAACAGCCAAGTAAATTTAAAGTAAACAATGGTTTATTTCAAAATGTCACCATTGATTAATCATCCCTTAAAAATTTGCAGTATGATTTTGGTAAAAGTCACTTAATATAGAGGCCATATATTAAAACAATCAAAAAACGAATATTTGTAGCCCATTAGCAGGGTAGAGCAGCATTTAAATGTATTTGTATTGTATTTGAAATAGGTATATTAAATACATTTTGTATTTGAAAAACTGTATTTTTGGCATGTATTTTTGAGATGTATATAAATACTTAAAATAGGTGTATTAAAAAAAGAAATGATTATGTGAAGGGTTAGGGTCCATTTTTTTTTTTTAACAGACATTTTCTTGTAATGATACTTCATTCTATATTCATGCACAACAGTTTCGAGGATTGTTGTTCCCATCATCAGGCTGTAAAATTGAATTTTGAAATTTTATAGTACAAATTTAAAATTACTTAAAATACAATATTAAAACTGAGAAATTATGACAGGAAAGAACGTACCAGACACATGAGCGCTCACAAAACAAATGGTTTTTATTTTATTACTATTCAGAATTCTTGATATTGAGACCTGGAGATATCCATGATTAGTTTTTGAAACTTTAGAGATTAAAATAAATAATTCTATTAATACTGCTGTTGAGAATAATCATTTTACAAAAATGTATGATGTTTTGCTTTATAGAAGTCAAACATTGAAAAGTATAGTTCTTCCTTCTTACTTGTGCTTTCAAAATCTTTCCCCTCCCCTCTTCTTCTCTTAACTTCCCCTGGCTCTCAGAACTCATTATTTCAACCGCTTTCACCAACATATGAAATTGATTTTGTCTGCCTGTGACTGTTAGCTTTAAAATGTCAATATAAAAACCATTTGTTTTGGGAAAGCATATGAGTCTGATAAGTTCTTTCCTGTCATAATTTCTCAGTTTTAATATTGTACTGTAAATAATTTTAAATTTCAAAATTCAATTTTATAGCCAGATGATGGGGTTCCTTGAAACTTGCGCATGAATATAGAATAAATTAACATTACAAGAAAGTGTCTGTCCAAAAACGATGGACCCTAACCCTTACCATAATCATGATTGATTATGACAGACTAAAAATGAGGAAATAATACCAAAAAAAAAACTTCAAATGCAGATGAAGAAGATAATTTAGAAAGAGAATAGGTTCTTTTTGTTTGATTCTGCTAGTGAATGCCATTCAATTAAACAAAATATTGTTGCAATAAAAAAAAAATATATATTTTACTTGGTTACCCGGTCTAGGGCACAGGTGCCAATGTTTCGGTCGCCATTCTGCGACCTTCAACAGGGTGTAGTATAGCCTATGCTCTCAAAAAATTTATAATACAAAATTATTATATATTTACAGTATTTGAAGTATTTTAAATACATATGTATTTAGTCAAGTCCTAATGCATTTATATACTTATTTAAAAACTTATCTATGAAGTATTTTAGAGAGGTATTTAAATACTAAATTTGGAGTATTTTGTGCAACCCTGCCAATTAATTTGTTTTTTCCTTTTTTGTTTAAAAAAATTATTTTGTTCATCTTTTTATCTTATTTCTACTAAAGAACTATTTTCCTATTAAAACCTTGTGTCTTTATTATAATTTTATAAAGGCATCATCTATTATTAATGACTTTGGAAAATTTCTTTCAAGAGAATTTATATCAACTCCCTAGCCAGTACATAAAGAATTAGAGGAAAAAAACAAACAAAAAACTATCAAACCCAAAAGCACTGTTTGCATTTTGTAAGTTTGTAAAAGGGAATTCTCAATTCAATCCACTATTCACTGCCTCGCATAATCGAGTTTTCAGTATATCAAAACAAGCTTTATTTCCGTGTATTAATAGTTGTGACAAGGGAAGTGGCAAGAGATGGTATTTCCATCTCACCTTAATTTATCTACCAAATAAACTGTTTTTTGGCACTTCCGAACTTTATTTGAAACCAGTTACAGTTATATCTGAATAGACACCGTTTATGTCATTAAAGTTCTTTTAAAATGTAAGGCTAGTACGAAATAAAATCTAAAAATATTTGTCAAAACAACGTCAGAGGCACGCCAACTGATTCAGGATGTGAAATAATTTCAAGAGGCGACAAAGCAATGATTCGTTTACTTTACTTCGTGATAGGAGAATTATTAGCTACGGATATACGTCAAAATGCAACGTGAACGATACACGAAAAACTGCAACTGAGCGTTATTGTAATTACGAAAGTGCTTGCCCTCAATTCGATTTGAGACCATATATGGACTTAAAAGAAGACTCTCTCCTTTCTCGGGAAATGAGGCAAATACAAAATTAAATCGAATGTACTGGCGCAAAATTTATTTTCTTAATTAAAATTGCAGGACTTCATCCTGCAGGGAACCGTTATGAACATTTTATTAATATTATACCATAATTATGGCAACAAGAAGTAGCAGCTGCACACCAGAAAGGAAGCATGTTTGCAAACTTCAGGCATTTGTCCGTACAATTATGATTCTAAGATAATGGAATCAAAGGATTTAGCTCTTCATATAAATACAATTTACTCAAATAGAAGTCAGTATATTAGTGAGTAAAAAGCAAAATGCCTTCAGTTCAAAAGCAAGTAACGATTTGGTTTTCATACGTTAATTCGTATGTTGCCTAAACTGCACATAGACGTTTCTGAAATGTTTCATGGGTGTGTCGTGGTGGGGCGTTTCTGACTAGTGAGTCATCCGAAGTTGATCATCAGTTTGTCTTTAGCTAAGAACTTTCGTTGCTTGTGAGCAGTTGTTAAGAGGTTCGCCAAGAGCATCAAAAATCAAAGAGGTAGTGTACTTATATTAATATTGGTTTTGCAGTGAGTTGTTGGCATTTAAAATGAAATAATTATAGGAGTTGTCATTGCCAACTATTATTAATTTCAATAACAGCTTTCGATGGCTTAGCCATCATGTTTCCTGCTGTATGCAAGCCACAAAACGACTACCAGTACTTTGAGTCATTTTGTGGCTTCCATACAGCATACAGCAGAACACTGATGATGATGATGATGATGATGACCAAGCTATCGAGAGCTGCTATTGAAATAAATGATATTGTTGGCAATGACAATCCCCATAATTATTTCATAGCATATATGAATTCTAAAGTTCAAAGTAGTTTGACACATTATTATTATTATTATTATTATTATTATTATTATTATATGTTAGTTGTTACCCTATTTATGTAAGCAGCTGCCTCTGGGTTTCACCTAGTTGCAATTATATAAATTTATCTTATGTTATTTGTTAAATTGTCATTTTATGTGTGCTAACGTTTCTTGTTGGTGTTTCTGAGTCCATTTAGTAGTATCTTTAACTGAACTAGTAAAACCACAATGTCAATCTGTCAAAAACATTGTTTTCGTGAATTTCTAGATCATCATGTCCTCGCGCAAAACCGGTCGCCGTGGAATCACAAAGAAGCGAGCTCAACGGGCCACTTCCAATGTGTTTGCTATGTTTGATCAAGCCCAAATCCAGGAATTTAAAGAAGCCTTCAATATGATTGATCAAAATAGAGATGGTTTTGTGGATAAAGAAGATCTTCATGACATGCTGGCATCTCTTGGTATGATGGTGGTGTATTGGAAAGTTCAGTCTTAAGTTCAAAAATTCATCTTGTTTTTAACCATCCTTTTTTTTATGAAATGTTTAAGGTAAAAATCCTGCAGATGATTACTTAGAAAGCATGATGAATGAAGCTCCTGGACCTATTAACTTCACAATGTTCCTTACGCTGTTTGGAGAAAGACTTCAAGGAACAGATCCCGAAGATGTCATAAAAAATGCATTTGGATGTTTTGATGAAGAGAACAAAGGTGTTATCAATGAAGAACGACTGAGAGAACTCCTCACATCCATGGGTGATCGTTTCACAGATGAAGAGGTATTCCTTTTTTTGTTTTAGATATTATTAGACTGAAAATTTATAGTATAATCTGTGTAAAAGTGGTATGGTCCATGTAACTAATAAGTATCTGTTTACGCAGTATAGACAGGAATGATGTTAATGGCAAATACTGCATTTGTAGTCTTTGTTCATTTTTTTTTTTTTCTTCCCAGGTTGATGAAATGTACCGTGAAGCACCCATCAAGGGAGGGATGTTTGATTATATTGAATTCACGCGTATTCTCAAGCATGGTGCCAAAGATAAGGATGAACAGTGAATGGTATTCCAAGGCTATAATGTGCCTTACTTTCCTTTCCTATGTTCTTTGTCTTGTTAACCGTATTTAAACATTGTATTTAAATAGGGACCATAAAATTAAGCATTTCCTTCATTTGTCTTTCTTAATATTTTTAAATTTTAATACTTTTTCCCCATATCTTAAATTGCAAATTTTTGTCTACACATTTTTTGTTGTATGTACTTAACAGTGTATGTAAATTTTATCATTAAAAACATGAAAATGTAATCTGTTGTTTTTTATCTTCTCCTAGGAAAAAAATTGATACCTCCTTTTTATTACAGGACCTAGGTTGTGAAATTAAAAACAATTCAATCTGAAATTCACTTCAAATTGACTGTGCTTCATAGATTAGGTAAATTTTAAATGATACACAGAGCAATTAATTGATGGAAAGTATTTGTTCAGCCTCTGCAAATATCACTGGGTTGTAGATAATATTACTGAAAAGGTTTCAAGATCTTAAAGAAACACTTCTGTTAGAAAAGAAAATCATGTTCTAGAAAATTTTACGTAAAAGGTATTAAACTTTTTTCTTACAAATAACTTATTCATATAAGAGCACAATGTTTTCTCCTTTTATAATGTAAGTTTAATATATAACCAAAAGAAATTTTATTAAATACAATTGGCTGTAAAAGTTTGTTAGTAGTCCATTATTTCCCTTTGCACTCAAACTGTCTAATATTATGTGCAGTCCCCTAGAGATTAAATTTGGCACTTGTCTATTGAGGCATGAATCATTTTGAAACGCTCAATTTTAGGTCAATCTTGAATCTCAACCAACTATATGTTGACACTATTCTTTAATTTCACTGCCTTTGATAATATTTGATTCTTGATACTTAAGAAGTACATTCTTTGCAAATAAGTTGACTGAAAATGAAATTTGAGTTCGAGAGGACAAGTCTCCGGTCTTTCTGAATCTTCTCCCTTCGCTTTAGTGATGCATCAGCAGAAAAACAAATCCTAAAGCTGATGGTCTCTTTTTCCACAATAGTTCCAATACTTTAAGAACAGGCCTAGCCCAGATGGTATTTCAAATCAGAGTAATTTTACAGACTTAAAAAATAATGTGATAATTAGAGCTGGGAAGAGCATGCAATTGCATGACTTTTATTAATGGTCATGTCTTCCTAACACTTCCTATTTAATTGAAAAATTAGCATTTAATTGCAAAATATTAGGAATAGAGTAAGAAATGTTTTGAATATTTTGCAAATTCAGAGCTTTTTGGCATATAAAAGAATTATTTATTGCCCGTTTTTTGACTTTTTGTCCAAAATAATACTAGAATAATAATTTCCAAGTAAAAAACATTATTATTGCAACTACAATCTTCCTTGTTGCTTCAAATGCATGAGTTCAATTCAGTACTGAAGTAATATCTACTGTCATCGGTTTATCGCCAAGTCATGACCCCTCACACTTCCTTTCGGCATCCTCAAATTCACCTTGCATGGCAAGACAACCTCTTTCTCAAACCTTATCCCACAAAAAACACCTCCCTTGCATATTATCTGTTTCCCTAGGTGGCAAAAATATTTAATATCATTGTAATATACATTTCAATGATCAAATGCTGCATACCTTAACAATTTCTGTGTATATTTCAGGGCTAAAAAGCTTACAAACTTCCCAACTCTAGTGATAATTTACATACATACAGAGTAATATATATCTGTGGTATAGAGAAAAACATATTGCTGTGGAAAGTGAACTACAAAATTTTAATAGAAAAGTATATTTTGGGGTCTCCTGATACCAAAAAGTTTTTCTTTTATGCATTTCTGTTGAAAACATTATTCTTTTAGGATTTTTCCAAAATGAATATTCCCTGATCGAACTGGTGCCACTAAATGCCTTTTACATTGAAAAGTTATCTTTGCATTTTGGGGGTACTCACAAGAACTCTGCGAGTCATTTTCAGTGGGAGAAGAAAAAATAAAATAATAATAATAAAATGTAGTTGTATAATTGTAAAATATAATGATAAATTATTTTTTTCCTATTCTTACAGCATTAATATTATATTATAGACATTTTTATACACTATTGCTTTAAAGTTCATGTGCTTTAAATTATTTCTTATTAAGTTTCTTGAACAATCAAAAGGTTTCTGTGAAAATGAGGTTTGATTTGTGCATGTTCAGAAATTCTTATTTTTCAATAAAAAAAATTCCATATATAGGCTAGTTTTACACTTTTATAATATTTTTAAAGTTGTATTTCAATTTTACCATTAAAGGGACAATAAATTGAGAAAATGGGTAAAAATGTCTTTTAAGTGCTGATACGTAGTATCTGGGAAGAAAGTTCAGGAAATCTGAAAACTAGCCCAGACTACAGAGATTAGTTAACTAACTAGTACAAGAAAGTCTGTAATATTATATAGGACAACAAGTTGTTTATTAATTTATTTATATTAGTGAAAGTAACTTTTTGACTTTCATTGTACTATAGTTAAAAATCAACATTGACCCTGAAATTTTACAAACATTTTACTGAAATAAAGAAACTCTTTTGTTGTCCAAATATGTTTTAAGTTATGATATGGCATTTTAATGCTAAATGTGCAGCACCAAAGAAAATTTAACACAATTCTACCAGAAGTCTTTTTAAACATATCTACTTGACGTAACAAGAAGTAATTTGAATTCTTAAAAAAAAAATTTAAAAAAAAAGGATTTTAAAATTATGCAGCCAAACTTTATTACAAAAAATATCATTATTTATACAGAAGATTTGGGGAGGTTTAAAGAACACAGATACAATCCAACTCAAACTGCATCAATAGTATGAATAGTGAAATAAATATTTCCATATTACAAAAGAATGATGAAATAACTTTATATATTTTCAGAAATTAATATATACTTTTCAAAATAGTATCGTATTTTTCTCTCACTCTATAAATAGTAAGCCTGTTCAACTTGGAATCACAACATGCTAGGTGTCAAGACTGCAACGTTGAAAACAATGCATTATTTCACAGCTACGGGTTTCTGGAATTAGGTTACCAATTCTTTGCATGCAACTGCTTTAGTTTCAGAAAACGACTTGTATTATAATATTTACCTTATTGTTCTTGGGCAGTTGTAAGTTTGAGTCACCATAGTTGCAGTTATACCTGTAATGCAGTAGAATACAATATTGTAAGCACATTCATTTTATTATTAGTTTGTACTATATTCCAGTTATTGTAAGTTAGTTTAATTACTTACTCAAATTGTAATTTCTTTTTCACTGTATCATAATCTGCGAGATTATTAATGTAATGAGTTGTTAATATTATTTTTAATTTGTAATGTTGTTTAAAATAATAAAAATTATTTTAATGTTGATTGTAAGCACTTCCTTCTCTATCATGTAATTAAAAAAAACTATTTGAATTATTGCTATAAGTTGACTTAATTGAATTTAATTCCTGCTACAATGTAAATGTTTATTGTAATTATTTACGTACATTTTTAATATGCAATTTATGTAAACTTATTAATTTGTTATTGTAAGTTTATGTAGTTTAAAAAATGTAATTCTTACTATAATTTAAATTAATTACCAGACAGACCTTACTTGATACTTTTTGTTAAGTCTAGCAATATATATATGTTGTTGTTGTTATTATTATTATTATTATTATTATTATTATTACTACTACTACTACCACTACTTCTACTACTACTATTATTATGGTAAACCCTCATTAATGCAAATTCCAAAAGACCGAAATAATCGGAGTTTGTGTTACCTCATCATTTTAATTCTTGTATCACTGTAACTCCCTTGCCGGGATCCGTTTTGTTCGTGTTACGGCGAAATTCGTGTTAAGCGAGTTCTTGCTAAAGAAGATTTACTGTGCCACAAACCACAACCACTTACTATATCTCTCTGGCCACAAATTTGTCATTATATGGCGATTAGGACAAGAAAATGGCCCATTAACTAATTGACACAGTTAATCAAATATCGACCAATGGTCGCAGACAAGTGGAATGCAATGCAATGAAATTATAATAGTGAAACTCAAGTCTTGAGTGTAAAAAATTGAGTAAAATCAGATGAATTCTCAATATTACTTCATTTGCCGCAAAATTGTGTAGTACACAATACTATCATAGTAACTGAATGTACTAAGTGAGTTTCAATAACATTACACTAAACACAAGTTAGTAAGCTTTAATACACTGGAAACGGAACTACAAGAAAATACAATTAATCCCATGGATTTAAAATCTCCCGCGTAAAGGTCAAATTGGGTTCTCTAATTGTGGGTGGTAACAAGACTATTAGAAATTTCACATCGATTGTATAGGGATTTGGAATTTAACAATACAATTATTTTCATTTTTTCTTTGCATTTCTTCGGATAGTAAGATATTTTCGAGAAAAAGTCTGAGATCTGCAAGAAACGAACTGGCCATTATATTGGCTATGAACGGCCAGCTATGGCTGTCAGCGGAGCAGGGAGCGGCCGATTGAATTGTCTTATTGTTTTACCCAGTTGTTCTGAAGGTAAGAAATTATTTTAAAAGAAAACTGCGGAAAGATAATTTACTCTTATCCTGTGTTTTATTAAAAAAATATTAATAACTTTTTACTCCAATACGTGCATACGTTCTTAGCAAGAACTACGTATCTTGTGTGGTGTTTGTACTTCAAAAATATTTGCTTTAAAATTGATTTGGTTTTAGGTGTATCTTCCCAGTCCTTCATACAATGTTTTACTTTGACTCATTCGGCTTTTACTGTACAATTGGCTACACCAGGAGTAAGTTTAATTATCTTACTACGTAGTGTCGCTAATTCTTGTTTGGTCTCATTCTGTATTATCTTCATCCAAGGGCAAAACGCCGGACTTCATAAACCAGGATGAGCAAAGTCGACGATGGTTGAACGATTTTCGAACAAAACCCTTTGCCGTACCCTTAGCTTTGGAAATAATAGACCGTAAGTACGAAGAAACAGATAAGGCAAATGTGCACAGTATGAATGATTGCTTTCTGATTCACGTCTTCGTTTTCAGCCCATCGTTACTCATGCCTACTAATTCCCCATGCTCCTGGAGCTGCTGTGGATTTACATAACAATAATGATTTGGGCACTATTTTGTTGCAGTTCATTCAGGATAAAAGTAAGGATACACACAAAATGTTAGTGACTTTATTATATTATAAGTGTGATTTAAAAAAAAAAAAAATTATTTACAGAATTGGTTTGTGCAATTGGAATGGGAGTTGCTGGATTGCTTTCTGCTAAAACACCGGGAGAGACTTGTTGGGGATTCAAAGCATACTCTTTGACAGGTGTTAGTACCAAATACCACACTTTTTTCCATTAACTTTTTTAGATTGTAATTGTCAAATATAAGGAAATGGAGAGGAAGTTCCTAATGTAATTCTAAATATACAGGCATTTGTGTGTTGTAATAATAATAATATCTTTCAGTCCTCAGTGTTTGAATTAGCCAGACGGTCGAATTTTGCTGATTTAGCAGTACTCCCTGAAGATGCTATTAGGGATGCTGGGGGACAATTCAGTGCTTCCGAACCCGATGCTGTTCATGTTGTAGTTGATAGACACCTTGTAACTGGCCAGAATGAAGCCTCAACGTTAACTGCAGTACAAAATCTTGTCTTGTTGTCAAACCAAAGGTGAGTTTTGTACACAAATATTTGGCACTAAAATATTGAAATTTCTGTTTGTAACAAGATTATTTATTCAGCAGGCAAAGTAAAATGAGCAGCAAATAATAATTCTGAAAACTAATGTAATATACAAGTTAATGCTGATTATAAATGAAAAGAAATTGCAAAGTTGACCTTAAAACTGCAGTGAAGTTTGTGAAGGATAAAATAACTGTTTAAAATACATTCCAGCATTATTTATTGAATGTATTTATTATGTATAAATGTAAAATTCTAATAAAGCTGAGACACGTTTATTTGCTAAATTATGCATTTTGTATTTTCAAAACAATCAAATTAGATTAAACTAACCTTAGTTAGTTTTTCCCACAAGTCGAACATTGTGGAAAGGTGAATGTGCAGATTTTTTCTTTGGTGCGTAAGTTACACAATTATAAGAACTTTGGTTCTAGGAAGCCAAAAGGCTCAGTTCATCTTATTTGTGGATTTAATGGATGAAATATTTTAGTTCACTTCAAATTTGATCAGTTGAATTACACATTAAAACATTTAGAAAGTGATTCATTTACATCTCCTCTTCACAATGTACATGTGTCCTGTTGACATTACACGATACTTCCAATTCCATGTATTAAGTTCTAAAAATTATGCTTAAATTACATTAACCAACCTCCTTCCCATCGCAAGTGACAGCACAACATTGATTGGTATGATTTGTACAGATGTAAACAACGCTATGTAGGTCATGTTAACACCTTTTAACGGTTTTTGTTTATTATGATTCACACCTAAATCACCTGTTCTTGTCACTTTCATCATCGATAGTTTCCCAATTTACACCATCATTAGGTAACTCTGAAGGAATTAGTGGACACAGCCATGAAATAAACCACCTTTTACCAAAAACACAAGCTACATTGTTTTTCAAACCCTTGTTGTAATCTGTAATATTATGATTCATTTCATAAGTCACACTTCCCTTGAAGAGACACTGTAAGTGATAATATGATAATGATCCACAAAAAAGCATCCCAACAACATTTACAAGTGAAATGAGCATAAAACATTGTGTTTCTGAGGCATCTATTCCAAACACTACAACAGCAAATGGAAACATTAATTTTAATAAGAATATTGGAGAAGAAAAGTCCAATAACTTCCACATAAACACACTGTTGAAGCGAGTGGCATACGCAGTTCCAATACACATATTCACAAGAAACATGATGAAAAACCTGTGATTATAATGACCAACACAATATCCAGTAAACATGCAATGATGATCTCGCTTTAAAATGCATGTGTTACAAATGTTACAATGCCAAGAACGTGGAGGTGCTACTATTTCGCATGCGGCACAATAACGCCATTTAGGCAGTAAATTTGCTGGTACAAACACTCTCCTTAAACTCGTGTCAACACAGATAACTGCAAAAAACGAACCGAGAACGTTTACAAGCATGAACGTAATCCCTACCAGGTGAATAATATACCACAGCGACCAAACTTCGTACAGACTTGGGAGAGTCACTAATAAAACGAAGAGATAAGTAACGGGAATCATTATAATAACAAACGTAAATGCACCGATGTCTGCTATTGTTTTGGGGAAGCATTTCTTTCTGATCATTTTTTCACCACATACACGAGTACTAAGTAACACACCAAAGTTACACTTATTTTATTCACCGTATTTAGTTCACCAGCAAGATCAATCTGTCACTTCCTATTTGTATTCCTCCATCCATTTGACCGACTAGCACGTTTATCAAACTTTGTTTCAGCGGAGGGTATATTTGTCTCTGCACTATTTAGTTCGAGAGAGTTGGTACTAATATGCACAAAGAAGAGAGTATACAGCGGTAGCAACAGCCAATGAGAGTAGGTAACAAGCAATGGTACAGGAGAGGGAATTGGTGGAGTGTTGTGGAAACATTTTATAACAATATCATGTTCCACCATGAGGTGGAGCAGAGCAGGTAGAGTGCGATTTTGTAACATGTTGATCCATGGGAATATTTTAAATACTCTGGTCTAGAAAATGAAGCTTCGCTATGCGCACGTTTTGTTGAACCCTCCTTTTGCTTATAGTAGATGAGTAGAGGTATGGGCGAGTTATTATTTTGTTAGCAATGCAAAAAAATCAAATCTTCAGTTCGTTTACAGTTACAAATAAGTTTTATAACACTCTAGAACACATCAGTTGAAAATGTTTAACTTTTCAGATGTTGATAATCTTGCGCTTTTTAAAATTTCATTTCTATTATTTATCTTTAACTTTTACTTATCTTTGAACTATTTATAGTTACAATGATGGGAAGGGATTCTGGAACTCAAAACGTGCGCAGATCTTCCCCATACGTCAATGCAGTTTTTACTGTTTTTGACCAAATAAATCTAAAATCTACTCCGACTAAAATGTACTACAAATAGACAAGAACCAGCTGAGACGCGGTTATCAATATTGGGAGCATCCATACAACTTTTTTTGTATTTAAGCTCCTGATCAGATATTGCGCCTCAAGCGATCAAAAGTGAATTCGCCGTACGTTTTAATCAGAGTATACATAGCCTGAATTTTAATATTCCACGGAGTGGAATATGGATTACTACTTAATCTAATACTTTAAAAAAGACTATTCATTAAGCTTTAGGTTGATAGACCCCGCTACGTATTTTGTAGTACAAATGCTACTTTTACAGAGTGTGTATTCTACCATGGCGTCAAAATCATGTTTAAAAACGTAAAACACAATTATTCATTATTTAGATATTTTTATACAAACGAATCGCCGCTAATACCTACCTACCAGAAGAAATACTGAATTCAAAACTTTTCCTGTTTCTAAATGTTAACTGTAAAAGGAAAAAGAAAAGTAAAATTCCTTTTACTGAATAATTTTATATGAGTATACTAGGTCATAATTAATAAAGAGCAAGACGAACGTTATTGGACTGGAACAAAAAGCGATTCACTAAACACAAGTTATTAACCTTGTGTCATGTTTGGAAATATATACCGTGTCACTCTTCGAAAAACCTCCACTCTTAAAGTGATAAATTGAATATATTGAATCCTAATTTTTATATTCAACTTATGCGTTCTCCTGGTTTTTAATTAACTCGAAATTTCAAGATACTATTGCACAAATATCGTCATTGTATTTCATAAAATTATTTAAAGCTGTAATTTGAATTCATTTGAGATCAAAAGATCGAATTTGCAATCAGAACCATTAGAACTACAAAATAATGATAACTACGTTTGTTTGCTTTTTATCTTAATCGGTTTCCGGTTTTTTTCGTGAGGCAAAAGCAAGGCAAAAGTAACAAGACCACCAATGGTCCGGGTTTGGAAGACTGCCAACTTAACTGAGACAACCCCAGAAAGGGACGTAAGCAGAAACGTGCAGGAGGTCGAGACGTGAGTAATAGGCAGAAAATGCGAAAATACCTTTTTTTCTGTAAATAGTTTTTGATAACAACAAAATATTTAGATGAACAATGTTTCAATAATTGATGGAGACATTCAGTTATATTAAATGTGTGTGGTGATTATTGACTGGGACTTGCATTTTTGGTGATCATTAAACACTTTTTAATTGGTTTACATTTTTCTTGAATCGTTAACAATAATATTAAGTCGTCTTATTAATCAACACGAAACTACAACATCGTATCCAAGCGCCATATCGAACTGACTACATCAGTGGGTTCACTGGTGCACTTCGGCATTGTGTGTACTCTATGCGTTCTGCTGCGTTCCTTTTCTAGAATTTCTGAGGATGTACCTTCCCTGGTCTTAACTTGCCTGTGCCGTATTTAATGTATTGTTGAACGATTACTACTAATTTTTTCAGAACATTAGAACAATCAAGAATACTAGTTTTGCTTGGACTGGAGAACTTGACTGCTCTGCTGCTAAGTGGTGAGGAGTCAATAATCACTTCGAGACGCATAGCTGACGTATAGTACTTACAGCAAGAAATCGTGTGTTCTGGAATAGTAGTGCAGTATGACAGCGTTACCACGGAGGATAATCAAGGAAACGCAGCGATTGATGCAGGAACCGGTACCTGGAATAAGTGCCGTACCCGATGACAGCAATGCACGTTACTTTCATGTAATCGTAACAGGACCGGAAGATTCGCCTTTTGAGGGAGGATTGTTTAAGCTGGAGCTTTTTCTACCTGAAGATTATCCTATGTCAGCACCGAAAGTTCGGTTCATCACTAAAATTTATCATCCTAACATTGACAGACTTGGCCGTATATGCTTGGACATTCTGAAGGATAAGTGGAGTCCAGCTCTTCAAATCCGAACGGTGCTCCTTTCTATTCAGGCTCTACTTAGTGCTCCTAATCCAGATGATCCATTGGCAAATGATGTGGCTGAACTATGGAAAGTAAATGAAGCTGAAGCAATTCGGAATGCAAAAGAGTGGACCCGAAGATATGCAATGGACAATTGATGTGAGAGTTATGATGATAAGTCTTATCTAGGGCCCTGTATGGGTTAACTTTTATATTGTCGTATATTCTGAGTAAGTCTGCTCAACAGTTATTTTTAAAATCAATAAAAAATTTGCTATGCTACAAATTTGCTGGTAGCGGTTACTGCTGTTAGCTTAGCCTTTTTTTCCTGTTGGGGGTATTAATCCATACAGGGCTCTTGATGCATGAAGCAAGAATGAATTGTTCAGCATATCTTCATCTCTATATGATTTGTCAGTTGCAACTGTTGGATTCACTTAATACATAAGTGAATGCATTTGCCAAATTAGTATTTTATGGTGATTTATTGAAGAAATGAGTTTTAATGGTACACAGCACTGACATTTGCAACTGAAATCCTACTTCCAGAGAATATTAAATATTGTCCAGTGGCAAACTAAAAACAATTTTATCCTACTTTTCTTTGTCTTTAGGGGAGTTTATTGGGTAAGCGTTGATAATTTAATGTGAGAGTTTTTGATTTCTTTAAGTCTTGTGCCAACTGAACGATGTGCAATTGTGTTGATGCAATCATTTTATCTTGTAGCTGCATTGTTCCTTTTGGGTGAAGTGAATTTATTGTTCTGAGATATTCCTTTTTATTATATTTTGGTTCATCACTTTTTGAGTGATCCAGCTGCTCATTTATCATACTTAGCCATCTTACCAGCTTTGCAGAAGGTGGCATGGCCTGCAGCACTCGTTTAGTGGCAAATATTGCACAAGAATGCAGATTTGATGATGCTCAATGTGTGCATGTGTGTCTAGATATCTCATGATCACTCAGGCTCGATTGTTTTCCTTGATGAATTACTGGAAAACAATCATTTTAGCCCTTATGGTGTTGCACGTATTAAGAACATAAAGGGTATGTTTATTTTTCAGCCATAAATGTTCATTTTCATGTCCATTATTATTATTTTTATTATTTATTATCAAGAGTAAGAGACCTCTCTTGTTATTGCAGCAGAAATTGCAAGCAGTAATGCTGTATAAATGATATTGTAATAGGCTGGTTTAATTGTTACACTTATATATGAAATGTGCCTCATTCTTCATTATATTGTAAAGCTCTTAATTTGAAATAAACTAGCCTCAGTAAGTTCAATTTGTTTGAGTATGTTGTATTAAGTGGTATGTTTGTGGAAAGTGTGAAGAGCAAAACTACAGCCAGTGATATATATTCATATATCCTTCATTCATCCTCTTTCCACTTATAAAGATCACTGTTTAATACATAATGAACATGAATGACTAAACTCAATGTCATAAGATGTGGTGTAGAATGAATGTTTTAATAATTTTGCTGTTAATTAAAAGTTCAAAAATTGATTGTCAAATTATTCTAGCATTAATTTTCAATTAGGTTTTTAATGTTTAGACAGTGATCTTGATGTAATGTCAGAATAATGGTCGCAGTGTACATAAGAACTTTAATTAATAATGTGCAATTTCTACCTTCTCGATTCCACATCACTAAATAAAAAAATTGTAAAGCTGGTTACTTGATTCATTGTTTAAAGTGTTTATTGAAATGAGACTTGTCAAACATATATAAAGCATACAACTTGAAAGAATTCACCTAATGCAGCCGAAAACCATGTAATATAAAATGTGTAGTAAAATAAAATGTAATTGGTAAATTCACAATTAATAAAAATTTTAAAATTGATTCTCATGAATTACTAAAGGGCACTTTGTCAGGTGAACTTTTCTATATGCCTTTGTTCCAGTTATTATTGTTCCTGAGAGTTCTTAAAGTTTTAATATTAACTAATTAAATGCTGTAGGTAAATCCAGTAATCAATTACAGTAGTGAGCTTGTGGTTTTTTTGTTGAAGTTAAAACTTAAGTAAATATTTAAGGAAGTTTAAGGGGGAGATCATGCAGGAAAATTGTGAGAGACTTTGATATTTCAAAGCATAGCTTTTCACACATTGTTTACTTTCCACATACATGTCTCCAAGGTAACCTGGTATATGTTCAGACTTCTTTCTTACAAGGCAACTAGATTTCAAGAAATTATACAAATATCAGAATTTACAATTTTTAGGTTTCATGCCTTTGAACATTAGAATATCACTTCAGCAAGGATAAACACCCAATGTACTTCATTTAAAATCCTAGAACTACAACATACATAAGTAAGGCATGAGACAGAATGTACCATTAAACAAAAAAGGCATTTTATATAAATGTAGAATTGAGAAACTAAAGAGTAGTAGACATTGAAGTTACAGGAGTAAGAAAGATCTGCAACTGATGTAACAAGTTTGGCATAACTGTCACAAAGGAATATCTTTCTTCATCTTCATTATGTTAGACAGTAATATTATTGTCCTCATTAAATCCCCACATTCGTTAATGGAATGTTAAGGATGAATAAAAATGAAATTTTTCTTTTCAAAATCTTGACTACTATCTTATGTTTTTCCAGTACATCAGTCAGTGGCAATCGTGAGCATCTCGAAGAGCAGGCACGTTGCAGCAAACCAGTAAAAAACTACCCAATCAGTGTTCTTGCAACTGCTTTTCAGTAGTGAAATTATACCACAGCTAAAAGTCGAGAAGAAAGAAACAAAATTGACTTTGTATTTACAAAATTCTTTGCCAATACATAAATAATTAACTATACAAAATGTATAGTTTGATAATATCTTACATAGTCAAAGAAAAAGCTCTGTTATGTTCACCAGTAGCTTGTGACAGTCCACGAAATGTTTTGTGATGGCGAAGCCATATGTTACATGCATAATATGCATACCATAGAAAAAAGTATTTCTACATTTACACAGAAACATGTACAATGTACACATGGCTAATGACTGATTAAAACATGATCATATAATGACTGGATTCAATATCTTTTTGAGATAGAAAGTAACCCTGGCAAACTACATTTAGAAGCTCCACTTCTGCACTAAATATCAACTTCACAGAGCCTTGCAAATAGCTGAAATGTCAAAGGTATAGCATTCTTTCAGCTTGAGGATTATGCAAAGCGCAAGGAAACCTTTCTAAGGCTTCCTGACCGTCTTTCATACTCTTTTAGGCTTACAAACAAAATCAATACAAGGAAACTTGTCAAAAAGGGACTTTTAAAACACTGAAGTGATATGATATGAGGGTGATTAGTTTGTAACTGATGGCTCTGGCAAAGAGGGATGCATGCTTAAGAGATGGGAGGTTGTGGAACTGGAATTAAGTTTCAGATGTGAAAGTTATTTCAGGATTATTCCTAATCCAAATTAATTCTATGATTTCATCAAACTAATGTACTGAAACAAAACGAAATTTATGATTTACATCAGGATTTTAGACACCCCAGCTCCACAAACTCTGCTTGTTAAATTGCCAATGACTCCTCATTGAAGCAACATCAGAGACTTAGATCATCATGTTTACTTGCAATATCTTTGTATTCTACACTTACACAGGACTTCTCTGGCAAACTACACATTGTCACAACCATCAGATTTCTTCCACTGTGAAATCATGTAGCTACCCTTTTTCACACAAATTCAACCTATAACATCAGTTTTTCTTGTACAAGTGCTTTCCCTACGGTCAAAGGACAACAGCTGAAAAATATGCAATTCCCTTTCTTCTATGTCTTTCAGTTCTCTACAGTAAATCCACATAAAATATTTTAATTACAACTGCAAAATACCTTCATACATAATCTTTCTATCCATTTAATAAATTCATGTCAGCCGCTGTCCTTCAGCATGGCAGAAATAATTGAAGAAAGATATGGAGAAAAGAAGGATATGGAAGGGGGGATATGGTAAGGAACACTAGAAATGTTGGTAACAGGAAAAGGGGTTGTAGAAAAGGACTTAATTCACAGAGTTATAGGAAAATAGACTTAGATGACATTTCACTGCCATGTCAGAAGAGGTTCTAAGCAGCTAGGCCTAACCAGGGTTTAAACAGTAGAGACTCAGGGAAAGTAAATATATTTGTATCTTCCATTGCTTGTCCAATGTCTCATGAATACATTTATGGCCCCAAATCTTTTTTTCTTATTTATGTCAGTAACATTTTTGTTTACATGATAGAGCCACTTTTCCCTTTATCAGCATTATAAATAACAGTAGCAGAGAAAGGATATGCAGCAAAACTTTTATTTATTCCTGCTTTCAGGAAGACAGACATGAGAAACAATGGAGAAAAGCCTTCCCTCACAACTCATGTCTTGCTTGCATTAAAGCTCCTGCATTTCAACATAGTAATGACCAAGGATTAAAGAGGAGCTTCAGCATGAATCACGGGTAAGATTTCGCTGAATGTCCTTATAAATGTTACCCAAAAGCAAGTACAGTTTCTTTTTGTGTTTGCCTTGGGTTAGTATAGTCGGGTAAATGCCTAAAAACACGTTACGTAATGTCATTTGATTTGTTGGTAGAGTACTAAAAGATCAGATTACATGATTACACTTTTTCTAGCAGCCAGTTAACAACACCAATGTGAGGAGAAAATATGGGAGTGTAATGCTGTAGATACTAACAGACCACAGTCTTTAGACACCCGTGTCCATGAAATAACTTCAAATTAAAAATTATTTAAAAAAGCAGCACAGAAACAACACACACTTTCACATACCCATACTTTCAGCAATACAACAATCTTATCCTTGAGATGCATAGAAGCATTTGTGCTTTAGTCTTACAACAGCAAGATAGATGTCATGAGACAAGAAACAAAAGAAAAACTTGCAAAGCATCCTAAAGGATTCTTCACATTTCTCATGGATCTTTTTCTTCTATGGAAACACAAAATTGACTAGAAAACACACTTCAGTTTCAATATCTATGGTTCCTTATGTCCAAACAGCTTTATACATAGGCACTGCACTGTTCTCTTCACATCTGCACCTTTGAGTATCTTTGGTTTCTAGATATCTGAAGAGCTACTTTATTTAAAATTACTTTCAAGCACATTAGTTCTTGAACTTGCATAGGTCCACAGTTAGTTCTGCTGTGTTACAACTTGTTTCTTAATTCACTGATCTTACCTTCCATGTTCTACAGAACAGAGAATTAAAGATCTTTGATTTAAATATATACAGGTGTTTCTTGACCCGTTAATAATCTGAACATGGATGTAGGCATAGTTTTCATCAGAATCTGAAATGGACAGAGGCATTGAAGTCATTTGTGATCTAACCGATACTTCACAAAGAACGATAAGCATTCAACAGGCTTTAAATAAACAATTACTTTCTCTCTTCAAAATGATGTAGAGCAATTTTCTAAATAATTTTAATAGAAGCCATAAAATAAGAATTTTTAATCAGCAATTTAATTTACCTCTCCAACAGATGTTGCCAGAAGGTTAACAATTTTTTCATGTGGAACAGCAACAACACTTTGATTATTAATTTCAATAATTCGATGGCCAACACGAACACCGCCTCTTTCTGCAATGCCACCTCGGAGAAGACTGCATATCTAGACAATGAATACAGATACACATTTTTATTCCTTTTTACTGTGCAAATAATATACACTTTGGAACATTAAAAGTACATTTTTTTGGAATTAATGTCTTCCAAAGGACAAATTGTGGATATTTGTAATTGACTTGTAAATGATAATGGGAACAAAAATTGGCCAGTTTAATTTTTTGTTTTAGAACAATATGCTCCCTCCACAATTACAAATTGAGCTACAAAATTCTACCTAAATTATTATAACTAATAGAACTGTAAGTACTACAGAGATTCGTAATAATTCTATAGTTATAAAGTATTCATTAAAAATGGAGAGATGGAAATAAGACATTAAAAATATGGAGTAAAAGCACCCATAGTGTCTACAGTTAAGAACATTTTTTTTTATTTTTTCAAAATTTTTGGACTACAGTTCTAAATTCATTATGTGATACTAAACTGATGATTAGCTTACCACTTTCTAAATTGCCTGAAATTTTAAACTTGTTCAATTTTTTATTGATTTTTCAAACCCCATTTTGGTAGTGATCAGGTACTAAACTTGGTAAGAGTCGATCGATATTCTCTCTCTTGAACATGTTTGAGATAAAAAAAAAACAATTCATATTATATTATTCCAATCCCATTTTAAAATAATGTTTTTAACTTGTCTATAAATAAAAATGAAGGGAAAAAAATTAATTTATCTTCAACCTAGTCAGCAGACTAAAAGAAACTTCCCCCAAGTTCAGCAAAGTTCAAGCAAGTGGTAATGTTCCAATTCTTACTCAGCATAAGAGCTTCATTTCCTCCCTCATTCAAACTGTTGTATTACACATCCAGTTTCCCTGATCCCTTGAGCAAACGCTGATATGGCCTCTTGTTAAGTTTCAGGACATAAATGTATTTTCATTATCTGAGCACATCATCTAGATTTCAGAACGAAATATAGTTATTTAAATTATTGTTCTCTATGTAGTAAAAACATTGTATTCTGAAAGCATACAATCTGTAAGAAATTAAAATTCAACAGACCTGATCAATAATGAGATCTATATCGAAACACAAAAGTGGATTTTCTTATGATTAAAAATTGTTGTTCTTCTGACATGTCAAATTCCTTGGCTATTGCCCATACAACTTAACTTTAATGGAATATTAACATCATGTGAATACTAACCACTCCATTTTGAACACTAAATCCCAGCTGATACTTTGTGTCTGGGCGTTTAATTTTCACTTCCACAACAGGTGCACATGGAACAACAGTCAATTTCACAACAGTCTGGTTCTTTGTGTTCTACAGACAAATAAAAAATTGTGTTATTTTGTGAAACTGCAGTCTCAAAATTGAACAAAATATTCCACTTATTAAAGTACCTTGATGTAATTTTGACATGTAGAGAGAGGGAGACCTACTAAACTAACACCATTAATTGCAATAATCTGATCTCCTATATTCAGTTGCCCACATCGGGCAGCAGCTCCAGATGGAGCCAGATTAGCTATTACTACTGTAGGCAACATGGAACCCCAACCTGACTCCACTATTACAACTCCCAAAATCTCTCCTTTTGCTTTGGGAACCACCACCTAAGAACAAAGGAAGAACATAATTATATTTCTCTTTTGCAGGGCTAATTATAGTGTTTTAAAAAAATGATTTACTATTAAGATTAGATAGGAAAAAAATTTTGTTATTTACTTCATAATTAGATAGGTTTATAAAATATGTAGAGGAAATATGAAATATCATAGTTATGACTATTATTGTACCTCTTTTTGCATCTCTTTCTTGGCAAACATTTGCAGTTCATCGCCAAATATTTCTTGTGAATTGAGCACTTCTTGATAGTCCATTTCTTTTACAAAACTGTGATCCTCAATACCATTAGCTTTCAGGAACTCCATATATGCTACTTGAAATGCTTGACCAATGGACTGTGCAATAAACTGAGCCTGAAAAAAGAACAATAAGGTAATAAAAAATTGGATGAAAATGAAAAACCAACTACCACTACCTTCTACAATTTGACATATGAACTTAGACATGTAATGCAAGAAATAGTGAAAGTTTGAGGTTTCTTGTGTACATTTTAGAGAATTATCATGAAATAATTGTTTTTGTAACTTCACAATTTCAAGAGTAAGGAATGTTAGAAACTAATTTGTAAAGAACAAGTGGAACATGAGAAAATTATTAAACTAATTTGGTCACATAATTGTAATTCAAAGTAATCGTCATGTAATAGATAAATCTTTGTAATACTTCAGTCAGTATCTTGAATACTGTCAATCTCAACCTAATCAGAAATCATTCTTTTAGGCAGTGCCAGCACTAGACAATTTCAGGCAACAGAAATTGAAGACTCATCCACCCCCACAAAAAATAAAATGTTACATATGTATGTCTTAATCAAAACAATTTGTTTAACCTTTTATTAAATTCAAAGTAATCAATTTTCAAAAGAACATTAGAAATTCATAAAAATATTTGGATTATATGGAACCAGTTATTGAATTATCAAGCTACATTCTGATAGATTTAAATTAATCACATTACATATCAAATCTACTTTATCATCTGAAGTGCTATAATGATGTATTAAAAATGTGTATCTTGTACTCCCATATTATAATAACATGTATTAAAGAGAGAATTCTGTAAACAAAAAAACAAAAAATGTTTAAAAACATAGCATCATTATCAGCAGCAGCAGCAGCATTGGGTGCAGATGTTTGTAACAACATTGGGTGGTGGTTCTCTATAAAGAACTCTAATAAAGGACTTTAATCTTACCTCTTCACTTTCAAAAACGTGACATATCATCTTGGGAGTGCGGTTTATTTTTGGGGCTTCATCCACATCATGCGGTACAAAACGTCGCCGGGCCATTAACACTACCAGATCTCCAATATCAGCAATGTAAGAAATGGTTCGTAGTGCATGGTCCATCATGATTTCCTGCATGAAGAATTGTTACATACAATCATTTAGCGAAATGTTTATTCAATGTATTTTGATTTATAACTACCATAAAATATTACCTTGAGATCAGTATTCAGAACCATAATTTTTTCTGTGGATATAAAGAGATCAACTTCTGTACTGGGTTGAGTTTCACCTTCAGGAGCCTGAAATATATATATACCATCTGTCAAGATATACGCATCAAAAGCATTGACCAAGGCCAAATCTTGAGATTAATAAAAGTACTGTAGGTACTAATGGGGAAATACATTACAAGGCAAACCAGCCAAAATCTTTTAACTTACAGGAATTTATTTTAAGAATTTCAAGCTTATACAGCCTTCATGAAATCTATAACAGTACCAATGTGGAGTACAATGTTGGAAGTGAGGAGCATACTACTTACCAGTGCCTACAGAAGCCAGGGCAGCATGGGGCAAAAAGAAAAAACATTGTTACAAGATAAATATTCACTCATCAATCTACAGTAAATATTGGGGATGAGTTTCTAATATATTATAAAGCAGAAAGCTTGCAAAAAATATCATTTATTATTGTACCAACCTTGAAAATCTTATGAGAGGACCTTGTATACTCAAGGCTTGAAACTAAAATATTTCCAGAAGTTTATTTAAAAAGAGGAAATCATTTTGTTTCCCCATTGAGTTCCCTCATAGTCACATGTGCACAGATTTCTAACTTTGCCACAAATATTAAAATGGACAGTTAGTTGAAGAGAGGAACATTTATTGGGAAAAGCTCCATGAGCACTAGTTAGCAACAAAGTAAAATTTTAATTGCAATGGCTAATAGGAAATTTCATACTTAATTGTAACATTTTGTACATGTCCAAAATCAAAACATTAGTTAACCTGCTTCATTTTCAAATGTTTGAATAAACTTATGTGAAAAGTTATTTAAATCATATGAAAGATTTGAAGGAGACCTTTTTCTTGTCACATCCCACTCATTCCTGTGGTCAGCTTACTTGCTTATGGCTCCAAATTCTCTATTTCCTTTTGTTTCTCCTTTTTACTTCAAAATGCTCAGAAAGTGTTATGCACTGTGCTGTGCCTAAAAGACTCTGAAGGAACTCCATAGCCTGCAACTGCCGCACCTTAATCTTCGTCACTGCTTCTTCCACCATGTGCTTCTTGAGGCGCTTGCGTCGTTTACGTCCCCCCTCCTCGTCCACTTCCACTGAGCCGAGGAACTGCAGCCGGAACACCGTGCCTGCTGCCCCTGTGCCCAGTGGAGGCAGGGGGCATGGGCCCGTTCCCCCTGCAGGAGGCAGCGACAGCTCCCTGTTTACCTCCTCGTCCTCCTCCTCATCCTCATCGTTGCTGTCGTCCTCATCCTCCTCGTCGCTGGGGGTGGGGGCGAGGGCAGGGGGCCCATGGCAGCCCGCCGCATGGCGTCGCGGGGGCGCCTGTGTACACGCCGTCTGTTCAGCAGGTGCCTGGCCTGGCCGACTGGGGTCATCCTGCCCATGCCTCTACTAAGTCCACAGGTCACTCCATTGCAAGCTTCTTGGTAAATCTCCTGTGCTTGCAGAATGTCTAAGCTCACAAGACCTCTATGTTTGAAAACAATTATAATTTTCTTGTAATAAAATGTACATTAATCCCATGTAAAATGAGGGATCAAGCAACAAGAAAAGAGAACAAATACTATTAATACAGCTAATTTTTGGAAATGTCTTTTGGAGTTAATATAAAGAGAAAAAATGAGCAATTTTTTTAAAAGTATGTAATAATTTCTTTGTTTACTTGTTATGAACTAGCAAAGGTATAAGAAATTATTAACCAGACAATTTCTCCCAGAAACAATTCATAAAGTAGAAAAAGCAATAAAGCACAATTAAATATCTAAGAGAATAGAATACAGAGAAATTCAAAACCTTCAGAGAAACATCTAATCTAATACTTTTTCATGAACATATTCTTTCTCCTCCTTCATCTATTTCTTTGTCACCGTAACCTGCTTAGACAATTTTTCCTCACAAACATTAACATAAATGAGTGGCAGATAATATAATTACGCAAATTACATATTTTCTGTACCCTAATCTTATCTGAATACAGTAATTTAAAAATAAATGAAGCTGTATCAGTCAACACCTTTCTGAAAGTATTTCATGTTTTTTTAAATTCCTAATAATATAAATAATTTTGTATTATCGAAACAAATCTTACTGGTTTGAGAGCATACAAGGGCAATTTTTTTAATAGCACTATTATATTTATAATTATTACTACTTTATTATTATTATTATTATTATTATTATTATTATTATTATTATTTTATTATTATTATTATTAAGAGAAATATTTAAATTAATTAGTACAAGGCTTTTATCTTTGTTTTCTATGCTTGTAATTCTGTAATGGGGAATATTCCATTAATGTTTGACACATACATCCATTAACATGAGAGATCTGATTTACTTAGAAATGTCAGTATATCATAGAAAACAAATTTGTATAACTTTCGAAACTTAATGGTATTTCATTTTTTCAGTAATACTTTTTTCAGCTTTTTATTCATTAATTCATCTTGCATGAGTTTAGAAATTGCTGGCTTCCAAACAATGAAAAAGGTTTGGTACTAATAAGTACATAATCAAGTCAAAAATTGTGAGATCAAACATCTCATGAAAAAGGTACTACAATTTAAAAGGATCTCCAAACAGTGCTTTTTGCAATAAAATGAGAAGGAAAATTATTAGCATGTGTCTTCTGATATTATATGGCTTTTATCTAAAGAAATGCTATTGCAATGTGAGAATTAATAATTGTTTATTCATATTTTATATTTATATATTGTAGAACCTTCTTTTATAGCCCATTTCCCATTTTCCTTCATAATAAACCAGTAAAATAATCTTAATTTAAGGACCTTGCGAGTCTGTCAATATACTAAGCACCTCTGCAGGGCAATTCAAGAAAATTTAATTTAAAAAAAGGGGTATAAAGTGAGATTACACAATTTATACATTTAATTTGTATTAAATACTACAATAATTGTAACATTATTATTACTATTATTATTACTATTATTATTACTACTATTATTACTACTATTATTACTACTATTATTACTACTATTATTACTATTATTATTACTATTATTATTACTATTATTATTACTATTATTATTACTATTATTATTACTATTATTACTACTATTATTATTACTATTATTATTGTCATCATCAAAAGCCCTAATAAAGCGATTGTTTCATTTTGACAACTTGATAATAAATTCAGTTATAATTAGTTTTTCTTTATTTTTGTAGAATATGCTTTTTTAGACATGCATGCTTTTTAAAGGAAGATAAGTCTCATAGAAATGAAATTACTTTGTTTACGTGTTTACAAGACTTGTCTAAAACACGTATTTATGAATTCTCTGGGATTATGATTAGTGTTGTAATTGTATAAATTACTACAAAACACAAAGATGGGTGCATCAACAAGTTTTTAATCATGAAAAATATCTCCACCTTTGACAGTTCATAAAATATAAAGCAATGAATTATTGATCTTCATAAGAAACCACAGAATTGCAGGGAGAAGACAAAATTTGAAAAATCAACTTCCATGACTTTTCTCAATTTTGCAGATCTGTTAACATCACTTTTCTCAGGCTATATTGAAATTAATTCAAAGAAAACTCAAATACTTCTGACGAGGATGGTGACAATTTCATTCAACTGATTTAAATCAAATTATACTGTGAAAAAAATTAAAATCACTGATATTAATTTAAAAAATAAATTACTATTCTTTAAAATGTTCTCAAATAATCCCTATTGAACAACTTATATATACTAACCTATATAAATAATAAAATGCAAAAATTTTTAAAATTATTTTTTACAAACAACTTCTAATCCTTTTAAGGGTCTGTCAAAGAGAGCCATGTCCTAGCAGAAGGGGGCTATTAGAGTCTGCTATGGCCTTGTGAACAGATTATGTGCAATTGAGAATGAACTAGTTGGGGTCAACTACACATCATTTCATTTTTTAAAAATATTTTTACCAATGGAGCAGAACTTCGATTTTATTCTCTGTAAGACAAAGAAAGGTGAACAACAACATCAAAGTTTAGGAATTACTCAGAAAAATGAAGAGTTCGGCGAATTTCATCTACCGAGCATGGAACTGAAAATCCTAGAGGATTGTTTGTTGTTGTAGTTTTATTTTTTTAAATTATAATCATTAGTAGTAGCAGTAGTAGTAATAATTTATTTTTGAATGGTTTGGTAAAATTTGAAGAACTGCGTAATCTTGTGAAACTAATAACATTGAAAAAGACCACTTATATGAGGCGACCAAATGGGGTGAGAGAAATAATTGCAATTCCAATGCAAACTCTGAGAAAAAATTCAATCTGTCTGAGTTCTGCCTGTTCCGTACAGGTGGGAGGCGAAACTCGTCAACTATGTAAAATGTTGCAGTCTTCCTTCCATCCTTATTCCTGCCATCCTTGAGGACGGACTGCTCTTTCAGAGAGAACCTTTAATGTGTGTTACATAAGAAAACTTGACAAAAATGGTGCATAATATTTTTTAAGAATAAGCCACGTTTGACTTGGATATTTTATTTGACAAACATTTCAAAACTAATTTTCTGAAAATATTATATTCAAGAACATGTCTTTTTTCTATTCACCGCCTAATTATGACAATACTTTTCTTTTTTTAAAATAATTTTTCCAAAGAAATAAAAAAAAAAAAATCTGTGACTTTATCTGTGAATAACAAATGCCCCTACAATTCTAGGTTTTCCACATTTGTCACCACTCTGAATGAATACTTATGAATACTTTTACATGAAAACTTTTCAAGTAATTAAAAAATTTACATTTTTGAAGAGTTGCTGAAAAATTAGTTCAGTGAATAAATTGAATACATCTCCACCAATAGGAGCACAACCAACATGAATGAAAGACTCAAAACAGCAAAATGTGATCATTAATAGGAGACATATTAAGAGAAAAAGAAACTGCTAGTAGTGGCCTTTCATTTTTAAATAAATTCTTCTTGAGCTAATACTATTCGGTTAGTTCTATAAACTGTGTAATGTTTGAGATTGAAACGCACAACAAAGTTTGAGATTACCATTAGAGTTATTGCTTGCAAGTTTATGGTTGAATCTGGAGACATGGGCAGAGGTGACACCTTTTGGCTTGTTCATCTGTCGTCTCAAATAATTCATATAGCTTTGATGTGTACCGTCCATACATTTTCTCATAAAATTATTAACATCTCAAAGAAGACTACATCCGAAGAATGAAAACTCATGTCACCTGAACTGCATAACATATAGAAAATATGAATGGTAAAATTTAAGTAATATTAAAACATGAAACAATTATTATGATTCAAAATTAAACCAACAAAATAAACAACACTGAGAGGTTTGAATCTAGCCTATGTAGCAGCTACACACCTGCATCTACTGTCTGTGGAGGTATGTACATAGCACAACACCAAGTGCTGAGTGATGTGATTTGATACAAATAACACCGGTATAAAGCCATGAATATGATTAAAAAGGAAGAACATGTTTGAATACAAAAAGGACAAAGGTAATGCAATGCACGACAGATACAAAGATGTACAGTGACCTCTGGTGAAGAGTGACAGTGAATGAGTGAGTGCATTCAAAACATCTGACAATGATAGGAAACAGAAAAAGTAAAAGGGAACAGTAATGTGGAACAAAAGAAATGAATCATAGAACCGGAAGAAAGAACACAATAAGAGACGACAGATGAAACACTGATTGAACCATCTGGTGAATAACGAGCCACTGATCTGCAGCCAACAGGCATGGCAGGCAACCAACCAATCACAGACAAGCGTGCGACCCAGGCAGCCCCCGCATGGGGCATAGAGGGAACAGCAATGGGTCATCGCACCCTGCTTCCACGCACGCTTTTGTGCCTGCCAACACGAAAGACCTAATTCCTAATTAGAAGAAACTAAAGTTTCTGAGATAGTATGACAGGTGATTTGAAAACTCTTGAAATTTGTTAAAAAATAATTGTCTGTTCATACCCACCCTCAAACAACAAAATTCTTACAAATTTTCCTCTGTAAGTTTTTTAAGATACACAACAATGACTTGGTTTTGTGAAGTAAGTGATGTATGTGCCCACTACACATTGAACTACCAGCTCTATGCCTCTGTGCACATGGTGACTACATCATGATGAGTATGTATAGCAACTATTGTCTACGATATTAACTACATTATGCATTTTGTGGTAATTCCACTTTCTACTGCTGTGAAACTGAACTTATAAGTATCTACAAATCTTTTGAACTATTTATAATTTATACAACATAATTTACAGGCTGGTGGAAACAAGGTACGTTGGATATGACAGCTGAGTTTTATATTAGGTAATAAAAATTCATAGTGAGAAATAACACTCACCTTGCATGTAACAGCTACTTCCCATTTAACACCAAGTACATCAAGTAACATTCTCAAGAATAACACTATCATGATATCCCAATCTGTGTTGAGTATTGCAATAACTTAATACTTAATATGCAGATTTTTAAAAGAATAATTTTCTTACTGAAACACTGAAGGGAGATCATGATTTGTATTTAGCTTGAGGCAAGCAGGGAAGATATGGACATTCACATGTAGAAGGTATCAGACAGCACTCATCAAGGAATGACCCCACGCTTTGCCACTGGTACCTTAATGCGAGAAACAGCCTCCTCTGCTTGATTCATACGAGTTGTCTTGGTTGGCTGTCCTTCACACACAAGCTGCGTAGAACCAAGGTAGTTTGCTCGGAACAGCACACCCTCAATCAGCACTGCCGGTTCGTGGATCATCACTGCAACAGTACCATACCCTCCCCTGGCGAACTGACACACACAGTGCAAAAACTTTCAAAGGAATACATCAGTGTACCCTTATAATTACCAACATTAAATATAATTCAGTAGGCAAAAATACACTGAAAAAGCAAATAAAATTGATTTGCAAATAAAATTTTCAGAAATAAATTTCTCTAACAGGCACTTTGTACTTGTTTTGAGATAATAGGGAGCTTTTTCTTTATTTATTTGGAAATAATTCACATGAATATCTTATTGATAGAGAACCAACACAATTTTACTTTACTGTGAAAAAATATTCCTGATTAATAAACATTTTAATGTCCTTAGAATGAGATCATGTAGCAAAGAGAAGGAATTAATTTGAAAGGCTATTCTTTTGAATGAGCCATTATTTTCAGAGTGTTTCATGGAAACTAAGAATTAAACAAAAGGTTTAACATTTCAGTTCATTGATTGTGTAAATTCAATCAATATTCTCGAAAGCTTTATTTGATAAAGTGGCCAAGGTAAGGTTGTACATTGTTTAGTTTGAATATAATGTGCACACTTTCTTAATGAACTTTTGAGTACTGAAAGATATAATAGTACAAGAAATTACAGTGATTAAAACTAAGGTCACAAGTCATGGCAAGAAGAGGGTAAATACATTTCACAGGGATTTTGTTCAGCAAATCTCAAAATCTTAATTTAGTTGCTTAATATTGAGGCAATTTAACTACTAAATGTTTTGTATCCAGAAGAATTGTTTCCCTCTAACCCCAAAAGAGTTATTTTCATTCCAAAACTGTATAATCTAGACTAAGGAGAGAGTAATTTTAAGAGTATTTTCTAAATAGTTTTTAAAATGTAAGTATCCAACATAATTTTACAAATCAATTTTGAAAAAAATTTCACATTTCTAAAAGAAATGGAGAGAAAGAGTCAATGGGTTTCTCTTTTGATTCTTTATTGACAAGAATGACACTAAGTTTCTGCATAGTATTGTTTTCAAGAAGTATAAAGAAATACTTGATGTCATTCATAAATTACTGGCAAATCCATTCCCTACAATTAAATTTTCTTTTTTGTTTTTGTTTTTAAACATGAATTAAGATTTTGTTATTTTGTAATTTAACTGATAAAATTTAGATACATAAGTCAATCATCTATAACTTTTAAATTAAAAATAAAGCAATAAAACCAAATAAAAAGTATGGCACTTTACCTAAAACGTTTTTATCTTTTGGAAATACTGAATCTAAAACTTTATTATATTTTGAGTTTAAGTTTTTAAGAAGGACCAAAAATTCAGTTTAAGGTTATCATTTTATGAGAATAAATTTAATTTGACTTTCTTTCAGTGAGGCCTCTTTTTTATATAACTATCCACTTACTCTCAATACACACTCTTAGAAAAGAGCAACACAGTTACAGATCAGCCACTTTCTTCTTTTTCTCAATGTATATCTGTTAAAAGCAACTTTCAAAATATGAAATATGATCTTTTCTATGAAGACACAAAATCAAATAGGAATCGATTCTTCTTTCTTTCTGTAATTAGCATTATGCCAAGTAATTACAAAACTCAACATGGCAAAAGGAAAGTACAAAACTAAAGTGATATAGTCAGCATCAAATTTGTTCTTAATATTCACATTTACAAAGTGTTTCTAGTTCATAATTTAAAACTGAATCTGTGTGTTTTGTAAGAGAGTGCAAACCTTACATTGTTTCCTACTTCTACAAATTGATCTTGCAATATTGTTCTATTTACTAGGATAGAAATCTTTGAAATGCAAAACTGATATGCACACATGTTCATTGTAAACAGGTGTATATAGGAAAGAACTTCAACACAAATAAGGTTGAAAAAATTTGCTATTTAGTTAATAAACCAAAATGTATGTCAATATTCTTTATTCATTTCACATTCTACGTGTAAGCTTAAATTCAATATTGCAAATTATGTGACTTTTTATGTCAAAGAAGTATGACAAGTTTTGATTTGAACCTTTTTATCGATGATCATATGTTAACATTTATGATGCAAACTTCAGAACTAATAATTCACAACTAGCATATAATAATAATTATTATTTGAAACACAGGGAACAACACTATCCTGTCTCTTGCATTTAATTTATTGCAATGGGTGTCTTGCCAATAAACAATATTCATGGAATACTAAACTGGGTTATTTCAATCATAATGTCTATAGGGAAGACAAATTGCAGTGATCACTACAGTGGAACAATATGCTATTTTTGCATTAGACACAATACAGAAATCGGGAATATATTCTGACAATAATGGAATGAAACTACAAAACCTTAAAAATAAGTGTCATTCTTAAAATCAAAGACAAAGACTTGCAAAACTTTCAAAATTATTTAACTAATAACTTTATAAGGAGTAATACAATTTAAACTATCATAGGTACTTTTTATATAGACAGGCAACAAATTTTGGTTATTTACCATGATACTTAAGAAAAGGGTACCATGCCTAATTTTTATGAAATTAACTACTGTCTCAAATGTGGAACATCTTTTGTCAAACAACACTTACAAATTTTAATGTCTTCTACACTGAAATATTTTTATAGAAGCAGGAAGGGAACATTCACATTTGAAATAAGAAACAAGATCTAATCTAGCCCCATGGTCATGCATTTGAGTTTTGCCGTAAGAGCATGAGATTTCTTCAATATTATGGCCTGCCATTCTGACTTAGACTATCAGCCAAACAATCTATTTGATAACTACACATTCCAAGCACAACGAGTGAATAAAGAGGTTGCCAGGCCCACTTACCGAACAGAGATAGAGCCGGCAGGCAGGCACCACGGCAGTGGGGGTGGAGTGAAGTGAGTGCAATAAACCAACAAACAAACATCAGTTTAGCAAAACTTTAAGTGAATGTACACACAGCGCACTATGGCAATTCCGGAATCAGAATTTTGTTGTTTACTGTATAATATTTTCTCAATAAACATCAGTATGTTAAACAGCTTTACTGAACGATTAGTCACAAAGTAAACTTAACAACTTTTACTTGTGAATAAATACTTCACATTCTTAGAAACAATTATAAATTTCTAGAGCAAATGAACAGTAGACGTCTTCTCTAAAAAAATAAGGCTGCAATAACTATAAAAATAATAATAATTATTTTTGCAAGTTTATTTACAGGTATGTGACATACATATTACAGCATATGTCTTTCATGTGAAGAATGAGAATAAAAAAGATTGTTCATATCATTATAAATAAATAACCTCGTGGTTGAAATAAGTGGCTGATATACATTTCAGAAAGTTCTTTTCTTGTGCTCCACCCCCTTACAAATCCTCATATTCTGCTTCTAATTGCTACGCAAAATAATATCATCTGATCTAAGCAGCATAGAATTCATAGGGATAGGGTAATAATTTCTCTTACTTTCACTTTCTATGAGAATATGTTATTAACATACTATATTGTAATTTGTACATTTTGAAATGGGCAAACTACAACAATAAAGGTTATGCACATTCCTGAATAAGTGCCTCGTTTCTATACTGAAATTCAGCTAACTTAAAGCAAGGATTCCTTGAAGCAAATTTCTAAAGCATTAGGCCCCTCTGCAATTTCTATTGATTCTCTAGTGCGTGAGACACAACTATAATGTTCTTCTGTATCTACAGAGAAAAAATACAAAGAGAAAATACATTATTTCCTGTATATATATACACGTCTAACAGTGATATGACCTTATTTGCACCACCTACAAATAAACACAACTTTTATGATGTCTAAAATAAAGAAAAATACTCCACTTATTGTAAGGAAATAAAAAAAAGGAAGTTAACACAGCAAAACCAACCATTGAATATATTTTCACAACAACTTTAAAGCTATTAGAAAAAAATTAATACATAAATTTTAAAGATGTCTTTATTTTTTTAAAAATATTTTAGGTAAATTAATTTTATTGCTATTAAAAAATGTTATTTCAATATGCATTTACTAATCCTATGATTCAGAAATGGGATTAGGTACATTGTTAATTTTAACTAAGAAGCTTGAGGTTTTCATAAAATTCATATTATGGCATTATGAAATTCAATGTATTTTTGCCTAAACAATAAGCAATTCATTACTGCATTTGGATAGGAAAAGTACACATCTAACTTTCAGTACATTCAAACAAAGTTGAGAGTCTATATGAAAGTGTTTGTGAACAAATTTAGGTTATTATGAAGAAAACAGGAATGACTACTGACAGAAAAAACTGGATAGAGTAGACATCATAAATAGTTGTTTTAATTATTGATGCTTTTAAGCTAATTGTAAGAAACCATGCCTGTGAAGGTTTGTACCATTTTTACATGGCAAGTGGAAGTCACCAGAAGCAGTCTTACCTTCTTTGTTTCTGCTCTTTTTCTTACTGCCGTCCTTCTCCTGCAAGGAAAACAAACAAAATGTACAAGAAATACACTACTATTCTCCCCCCCCCTGCCACTTTCCATGCAACTAACTGTCTCCAAATCTTTCTTTAAGCTAACTGTACCAATCAACTACAGCATTCACAACATTCATTTCATCAATTATTACAGAGCTCTTCAGATGTATAAAAAATGCATGTTATGCTAAAACATAAGGAGCATTCTGAATTATTTATAATCAAAACAACAGACTTTCAAGACGTCATGAAGTCCAAGCAGCATCTATGAAATTGGTTACCCAAAGGCAGGTGTCTGCAGTGTTCTGAATTTGAACATGCTATAAATACATTTAATACAGGCATAAAATATGATATCTTCCAAAATGTCTGTAGAATTTATATTTTAGAATAGAGAACATGTTAACATGCCAAAGCTCATCATTTTGAGGACAAAATAAACATCAGTAAAGCTTAGTCATATAATTTGTATGATAAAAATTCAAACGCTGCACTTCAAGTATAAAAAAATAAAATAATCAAGTAACCAGGCAAGTCCACAAGGCATCCAGGGCAAAAAGGCGAGAACAATAAAATATCGTGTTTTTAACCAAAAAAAACAAAGAAAACCAACAAAAAGAAGCAAGCCGAGTGTGCGAAGTGCAATAAAAGGTGCAAGAGGCACATGCTTTGCGAAACAACAAATGGCAAGATGCATCAGGCTCTAAGGCAGCAGGCGACGCGACAGCGGCTGCAGCGGCGGCGACAACGACGACAACGTTGACGACGTCTGAGTCGCGTTTTCGTCGCCGTCGCGTCGCGTCGTGACGTGACGTCCGTGCGGCGTTCGCACCTTCTTGCTCTTGCCAGGGGCGGCGGCATCCTTCTGCGGGGAGGGCGGCCTGTCGCCCGGAGCTTCTTCGCCGTTGGCAGCAGGGCCGGCGGTGGCCGCCGCCGCCGAGCCTCCTCCAGCGGCCGCCCCTGCAGCCCCGCTACTGCCGGCACCGGCGCCGCCGGCACCGCCAACTCCTCCGCTCCCGCCGGCCCCTGCGTTCGCGGAGGCCGCCTCGCCTGCCGCGCCGCCGCCCAGGGGCGGGGAACTGCTGTCGGAGGGTGATGGCGACGCCAGCACCTTGCTGCTGCCGCCGCTGCTGCTCCCGCCGCCGCCGCCGCCGCCACCACCACCACCGCCGCTGCCGCCCGCCCCGCCCCCGCCGCTACTGCCCGCCACGGGCGTCGACGTCTTGGCGCCCCCACCCCCGCCCGACGACGACGCGGGGGGCATCACCGTCCGGGTCTTGGGCCTACGCCAGCCCTGCGGGAACGGGGCGCGGTGAAGCGGCGCGGGGGTGGCAGTGGAGGTGGAAGAAGGGGGGCGTGAGAGCGAGGTGCATCGCCCATCGACGCGGGTGGGTGCTCACTCGAAACGCGCCATGCCGGGACGAGGGCCAGGAAGAGCGGGACGAGAAGGAAAACGAAAGTAGAAGCCTCCACCGAAGCTCAGCTTTGCGGAGAGGACAATAAAAGCAGAAGTAGCTGCCGCTCTACAGAACACGAGTCCGTTGCACGAAGCTTCAAGAGCCCGAGTGAAAACCCACCAAGGCTGGCGCAGAGCGTTCCGTGCAGACTCCACCTTCATCCACAGAAGGAAACCCCAATACCAACCTTCAAAAAGCCTCCCTCGACATACACTGTTGCAGCGACGGTACACATGAGCGGAGACGACGCGTCAGACCGTAAACAACTGGCGCACACGCGCGCTCGCGAGTGCCGACCCGACGGCGCCGGGCGGGAGCGCTATCGCCGTGAATTTCGCGCGGCCCACGTGGCAGCAGGGCGACGTCCGTGTCGACAGTCGCGCCCAGGCCGCCGGATGGACGCTGCGGTTTCCGCGGCGGGGGCTACTGCCGGCCAACGCCATCGCCGTCACCGGAAAGAAACCGCGGGCCGCTTGCTGCCATCGTGGTTCCGAGGGGCAGGCAACAATGAAACGGAGAAGAGCTACGCGAAATCTCTCACCGGCCGCCGGGAGAACGCGCCTGCAGCGTGGGTGAGCGCGAGCGCGAGCGTGAGCGGGGATGGGCCGGGTCGGGCCGGCTCGCCTCGGCTCGGCTCGGCGGTCAGTTCCGGGCGCGAACTGGAGCGTTTCGGTGGCGAAGCCGGCGCCGGGGGCGACCAGTGAAAGCGCACGGGCGGGCGGGCGAGCGAGCGAACGGGCCCGCGGCGGCGAGAGGGGGGCTGGCCGGCGCTGGCGGCGATCGCCCGGAACCGTACCGATGCGCCGTCGCCGCCGCGGCTGCGGCTACGGTGGTTCCCTGGCGGTCGCTTATCGCTGGCTAGTCGAGACCTGACGGCGATAACACGCCTCGCGATCACCACCCGCCTACTCGAGCGCCCTCCAAACCCAGCGGCGGCCGCGCTCGCTATTTGTGTCGTTTGCGCGGGGAGACGGACGGAAGTAGTTCGTCGACCCTGAGCGCGAGCCTCTTTATTTTTGTGCGCGACCATTGTTCGTGGCTGCAGGAAGTGGTGTTTTACGAGTAAGGCGAAACTAGTTCTGCGCGTATATCATCATATAATCAATAATTATTTCACAGAAATCAAATAATTGGGCATTTATTATTATTATTATTATTATTATTATTATTATTATTATTATTATTATTATTATTATTATTATCATCATCATTATTATTATATTTTTATCCGCATGTACCAAAATTTTCGGGATAATATCGATGACTCGAATTCCTGCCGCTCCAATCCTGTGGCGACACAGTGCAGCGATTGACCGTTCGCCTTTCACCGCTGGAACACATGGTCAATTCCCGGTCGAGCTACATGGAATTGATTGAAGACAAAACGGTTCGCGGAACATTTTCTCGAGATTCTTGCGTTTCTTCTGCCCCTCATTACACAACTGCGCCCTCTAGTATACTATATTTCTATTTCACTAAAAAATACTTCTTGTCACTTATTAACATAAGACAGGCGCTAGCTTAGTAAAAATGAATAGAAGGTCATAATGGTTGGCTTCATTTTATCTGGAATAGAATCTACCTTCTGCTCCGAAAGATATGTAATTGTATTGACTTGTTTAGTAAAGGACATTTGATTACTATTTGATAGAATATTAGAAACTTCTGGCGTAATATTAATTGCATCGACTGCTGGAATAAGCACAGAATGGGGACTCATTGCACCAAATATTCCCAAATTGCACACACCTCAACAAACGTAAGGTCAAGACACACGCATTACGGATATTCCTGAACATAATGAGACATACTTGGGCAAAATGTTAAAAAACGAAAGATCAAGATAAATAACTACGTTTTTCTTTTAATGTAAGAATTCTGAACTAAGTATTTAAATTCGTATCAGAACTGAATATAGCAGCAACATCAGTAGCGAGGGAGGAAGGGATGGCGAGAGGGAGGCACAGATATCATAACCCCCCCAAGCTAACTTTTTGTACACAAAATTTATATAATACACATTATAATACAACTCAGTCTATTCAAAAAAGCTTCACAGTTTTAGAAGTGTTCCCACTACGCGTTCACTGTTTTTAAAAATTTCGACCTGCTTTTTTCTCTCTTTTATTTTTCGGAAATATTAAAGACTGGCGAGGAGACGGGATTGAAATATTTTCTAGATCCCCTTGCTCCCCAACTCCGACTAAATTTTATTTATAGTCAGCAATTTGACCCACCTCTGTACAAGACACTGATTTGCTAGCGCATTCGCCATTTAAGTAACATTAACTTTTCGTTTAATCTGACGTCAACAGCGTTAAAATTCCAATAGAACAGACAGATCGTTTCGTTTATATCTAAAATAAATCCACTCCTATTATCAATTTTTCTGAACACGCCCACACGGGTGGAGTACCTCATGGACAAGCGGCATCCCTCTGCCCACGACCATTCCGACAGCCAGCATGTGGGCGGAGGAGGGCGGCGCGGGGCGGCGCGGCGCCGCGCTTGCCACCTGAGTCAACAGACGCCGCCGCGGGGAGAAGCGGCTCGCGGTGGCGGCGGCAGCGAAACGAACTGCACTCGCGTGCGGCCGAGGGACGCGTGCCAACACGGCCAACGCCGCTTACGTCGGCGCCGGCGCCGACTCGATAAGAAGTGTATCGTCATTCCTCGCCGACACGCGGGACCGATAAAGCCGCCACCGCCGAAGGAGAAAGCAAACGAATCGCCTGCCCAGAAACTACCAGCAGCACTCAACAATAGAACAATAATAAAATGTTTATATCGTGCCTAACGTCTATTCCCCATTTTCTCAACCACTCTATGGGGAGTTAGGGGTATGAAGCCTTCTCCCATCATACGTTAAAAACGATATACTAATATAATCATTTTAAGTTCATTATATCCAAATATTTTGCTATCTATAAAATTTTTAGTAATCTGGTACCAAAGAAACCACTAAATGTAACTTCTGGAAACGTTCTAACCCGCAATATTTTTCCGAACATTCCCGTGAGACAACAGGGGGTAATAGTCGCCCAGAACCAAGCTTTGATACGATTCGACGTAGGCATTCCACATGGCAAGGGAGGGTAAGGGGCTGAAGGTTCTTCCAAAATAAAAATAATAATCCAGCTTAATGGTGCGATCTGTTCATGGTTATGATTAGGGAGGGATTTTATAGTTTTAAAACATTGCCAAAAATGATCAATAAAATGCTCTTAAAATGTTTTTAAAATGCCCTAAAAGAGAAGAAAAATTACGTGATAAATTCGATCAAAACCAGTTCACATGGACAATTCAAGATGTCGGGTATGTTACTGATGTAATCGAGGCTACATCCTTTCGTTCAAGTTAACACAGCTGACAAACTTTTGGTTTGCACTGTTCTTTACCAGGAAATGTCTCTTTAGTTATCGCGAAATCGGCCAAACCTACAGTGGAGCTAACAGACGTCACACGAACTTACCTACTTACAACAGCTGACATTACAATTTATGAGCGAAAAACTCAAATACGCTACCCAGGAATTCTGCGGAGAATTTGATGCAACTCGTAATTATTATTTGAAGCAAGTACCCATAAAATAATGTTAAAATAGATCAAATCAGCAAAACATGCTTTGAAAATAACGTAAAAAGGTAAATAAATAAATTAAAAAAAACCAAAACGACTTGTTAGTCGTATGATGTATAAAAACGGTTAATTTCCTCATCTTGTAACCTAAAATTGATGTCCATTCTAAAAGGCATTGTTTTCAAGTGAAAAGGAAAAAAAAAAATGACACTTCATTAAAATCCGCCCCCAATTATGAATTTTAAAAGTTGCAAACATAGGCGCAGTCTCGGAGGCTCGGCGCTGAAGGTTAAAACGCCCCCCAACCCCCTCTGCCATTGCAACCCGTGAGGGGGTTAGCCGGTGTCCTCATTCAGGACCCTTAGCTTCTAGAAGTTTCGTCGCCGCGCATCGGTTACCCAGCCCAGCGAAGCGCCTGGTTGCAAAAGTTGAATTAACTTTTCATTCCCAATCTAAACGTTATCGGAAATAAAATATGTCTAAGTGTTTTGCAACTCATCGAAAGGAATTAATATTTCGTAAAATATTCCTCGAAATATTACGTTACGCCTCTGGCAGTTTGGTTTTCAATGTTCTGCGACTACTACTCACTTGTCGACCTCAACCCAAAATAAAGTTCTGCCTAAACATAAAGCGCAGTCAAGATTCGCAAAATGAACTGTTTCCATTTTATCAATCCTCGCCTAGAGATTTGCTGCAAAGAGAAATTCCGTTTCTTAACTTATATTACTACCCGTAACTTTCACAACAAAGTGAAAAGTTTCATGTTTACATTGTAACATCTTTATTGAAGTTAAATAACACGAAATAACATGTCTCATGAATACGAAGTAACATTAAATGAGAAATAATTCACCCATTGTGCGAAACCTATTTAGCAACTTCTAGCGGGCAGATAAGAAAGGAATCAGAATCGGTGAAGAACAAAGTGGAAACAAATGCAATGTACTGTCAAGACGTTCAAGAACTATTTAGAAATAAAGTAGTGTCAGATAACATTACATTGAACTCGCAAACAAAAAATTAATTTACTGAATATATTTTTAAATTGAAAAACAATTTTATAGTGTAAAAATACGAACTACAATATTAATAATAAGTACTATTGTTTTTATTAATGGCGAAGGGCATGTTACTGGCTTGCTTCCTCTTAATCGCGGTAAATATATACATTTAAGTATTTTAACAAAGATTGGACACAAATGTACTTATTGTTATAATAAATTATTGTCACAATACATTTTTATTAATAAACCATAACAAAATACCAGCAAATTTTCTAAACAAGTTTCAAAACGCTTCTATAAGATTTGGTAAAACTTCAAATGTTCTCTGAAGTTTGAAATTCAATTCAAGCATATCTTCCAGGGCTTGTTTAGCCGATCTATGTAAATTAAAAAACCTTACTGAACAAAAATTCATCAAATTTTGTTATGACATTTGTGAGAAACTCAAACTCAGACCAAAGTATTACACAATTCTTAAGTCGAAATTGATTCTTTAACATTTCATTGCGTGAACATAATTCTTCGTTTGTACTAGATAAATTTGGAATATCCTGTAGCACTTAGAAATTTAACCACAAAACAAACTAAAGATACTAAAAATATTTCCCAACTCCGGGTCTCATCGAACAGATTAGCTTTGGTTTGGTGGTGCAGATGAATCACTAAGTCAGAGGCACTGAAATGTAAACAACTTTGGTTCGAAGTTCGCTTCGAGTGGTAGGATAAATGGAGATTTTTTCAACCTTTATCAGTCGCACAACTTCGAATGATTCATACAGGTAAACAACATCGGGGGGGGGGGGGACTCACGATCATCAACGTTTTTAATGTTATGAAATGTTCTGTCGAAGAAACTTGGCAAACAGTTCTTAGAATGCGATGTTCGCAAACGCTTTTGCAAAATTTCTTGAAGCTTTTTATGTTACCCCATCTTAAAAAAGAACCGTTTTTGGAAACAATGAAAACGCTAAACGAGTCTCCAATATTATTGAAAATGAGGGCAAAATAATCAAAATTTGAAAAGATCTTAAAATATTATTTGCAGTAGACTTTCAATTAGTTCACATAAGCTATGAAAGCCCCTTTACTGAAATTACGAAAAACTGAATAAGCAAGAAAGGAAGGTCAGTCCCCTTCATTTTGCGGCTA